AAACCTGATTCTATATTTGTAATTAACTAGCCTGTTATAAAAACCTAGTTAACTTAGACACACGTGCAACAGATATTGGCAATTACTATAAATACTTTCACCATACCCAGTCCCTCCTGTTGTGTAAATGATTGATGGCATGCGTTTGCTTTTAACATTTTCTTCTGGAGAATAAAAAACCCCGTTAATTTCACGTGCAGAAGACAAGTTATTTAGATACATGTACTTGAAGATGTTGATCAAATTACAGGCTGGAACAAATTATTTCTTCCTTCATGTTTCTTGTCTGGTAAAAGGGCTTCTTACTCCGTACAGCAGGGGGTGGATGGCTGTATGGTTAGCGTGTGCGCGTTGTATCATTAAGGCTATATGTGACAAGGAGTAGAGTCGCTTGTCCAACCTCGTGGGTTTTTACCGGGTCCTCCAGTTTCCTCCCACTGCTAAAGACCCCTACGCGCAAGCAAATTATTGAAATAAAATAGAACCATATGTTAGTCCAGAAATAACCTTGATTGTGTCAAGTGGACATTAAACCCCATTTCTCTCTTTCTCTCTCCTGGCTAATGAATCCATGCCTTACTCCATGAGCCACCATGGCTCTTTAATTGATTTGTCCTTGAGAATATCAAAGTAGGCCTACATATTTGGATTGTAAAAGGTATGATAACAAGATATATTACTAGATATTTTTTAAAACTATGTCTCAAGAAAACACTAAAAGTTAAAGTGCAAGATATTTCTGTATAGAAAAAAAAAATATTGAGATATCGAGTCAGGTATATTTTTTTTAAATTATGTGTGACGATTGGCGAGAAAATACAAAAGTACGAAATATTTCTGTCTAATTGACAAAAGTATACGATTCTATAGATACCCTATGCCTAATTGACTGTAACAAATAGACTACTGGATGTTCAACAATAAACTGTTGTACACATGTAGTTTATCAGTTGAAATATCTTCCAGTCATACAACAATAACTCACAATATTCAATCATTTATCAAATATTTCCCTTTGACAGAAACTTTTTAAGGTTATTATTTATGGCCGTATTTAATAGTGAAGTGTTAATATGTCATCCTATAGTTGTCAAAGAAGTAAGACGTCTTTCACACCATAAATAACTCACGTTTATTGAACTTTATGTTGTTGAATTGAATACCAAAAGTATAACTTTAAGATCAAAAAATTTAAAGCACTTCAGCCATCTTGGATATATTATTATTTATGGTGTTGATTTGATCTTATTAGAACCTCATGTTATATTTTTTTTATTTTGTATTAGAAAGAGCGAGAGAAAAATGGGGTTTAATGTCCACAAGACATTTCAATAACTCGTTTGCGCTGAAAGGTCTTTAGCAGTGATAGGAAACCAGAGGACCCAGAGAAAGCCCCTGAGGTTGGACAAGCGACCCTACTCCTGGTCACATACAAGCAAGGAATCAAAACCACACCAGTTGACTCAATCACACATTCAGTTGGGTTTGATGCATCTGAGAGTTGCATGAGAGGGGAACATATCTAGTGATTCAGTCTCATATTGCAGGGCTGACCGTAAAAGTACCTAGTCATTTGGATGGGACAAAAACGAATCTCCACTGTGTAAACATTGACATGCACATCAAAGAACCCTTGGCAGTTGGAAATCGAAACAAGAGTAGACAAAAATGCCACTGTACAAGCAAAATTCTCCTACATGTATATCACATTACACACATACATGTACATGTAACCATAGTGATAAGTACGACCATACTATGAGCCAGAAATTAGCCAGCTTGGAATTGTGAAGTTGTATCAAATATCAAAGTCTGTCAATTGATGGGCAATTGTCCGAAGAAGTATCATGCCAGATTTCATGTCAATCAAAACTTGAATTGATGAAGCATTAGTCTATTTTTTTATGAACTTCACACCAAGAGCAAGAATGTACAGTTTCTGGTTAGGCGGGTTGGATGGCCGAATGGCTAGTGTGTGTGCATTGTATCATATTCATAAGGTCTGTCATTGAGTCAACTGGCATGGTTTTGATTCCCCGGGTGTACCTGACAAGGAGTAGGGTCACCTGCCCAACCTCGTGGGTTTTCTCCAGGTCCTCGGGTTTCCTCCTCTCCTTTGCCCAAGCGAATTACTGAAATAAAATTGAACCATATATTAGTCCCGAAATGACCTAGTTTGTGTGAGCTGACCTTAAATCTCTCTCTCTGTCTCTCTCTCTATCCCCCCTCTCTCTCTCTCTCTTCTTTCTCTCACTCTCTCTCTTTCGGTTCATATGTTTGTCTCCAACTACACCATGATTCTTTATTTCTAGGCCTGTTTTGTGATAATCTGTGTCTGACAGTGTCTGTGACAGGTGCCTTATTTCCAGGCTTGGTCCATCCATCATTTATGGCAAGGTTTGGGGGAATCTGTGTGAAACATTTTGGGTCTGTGGTGTTTTTTTACGGCAAGAGTTCCACAAGATATCAATTTTTTTTTATTTATTTATTTATTTTTTTAAATTTCTTCTCAGATAATAGGATAAACTATCAATGTTCCAGCAAAATAAATGGAAAACTGCAAACGCCCCCCAAACCTTGCCATGTCTACCATCCATTATATTTGTTTGTTTTGTTTTATTTCAGAACAGCTGTAAAGGTCAAGTATTGTTAGATAAAGTATTTCTTCATCTCAATATTCACGAGAAAGATTATTTTGGATTAAGATTTGTGGATCAAGCTGGTCAGACGGTAATTATCAAACTATTTGTTCATTTCTCAGTGAATAGCTCTTTTTTTTTTTATGTACAATATTTTATTTTCAGAAAAGGATTGAGGAACAGGCTAGGCCTATTATTATCTCTCTCTCCTATTATTCACATTTTGTGTGATAAAACTAATTATTAAGAATACCAATCTGATTGAAATACAGATCTATATTTCGTTACGTTTTTTTTATACTTTCGATGGCCTACACTACATGAAGATCTGACCGGTTGTACTGGAAGGTATCGTCAGGGGTTGTACGAGCAACTTTTGACCCTATGACGTCAGACATTGATTAATCAATCAGCGTTGATGTTGTTTTGTGGTTTACCCACAGTTCCGTGCATCACACGCCAAGAACTCATCGTAACAGACCGCTTCATTGGCTAATCCCTCACTTCAACCAGAACGCCAGTAATATAACAGCTCTTCCAGATCCTAGTGTAGTAAAGACAACTAAAACGAAATTTTTTAAGAATAAAAATAGGATTCAGGATCTGTGTTTTAATGAAATTGTGGTGCATTGGCCGAGAAAGTTCATACAGATTTTCCTGGCAGGTTGTCAGTGATGCAGGACGGAGGGCCTGACACGGACAGCTGTCTAGTCGTTCGGATGGGACGAAAAACCGAGGTCTTGTGTACATTGGTGTGTACGTAAAAGATCCCTTGGCAGAGTAGGCCATAGTGCAGCTGCCCGGTCTTGCAGGTAAAAAAAACCCATGGAAGTTCGGATTCGATATACATGTATGTATATCTCCAGGCAAAATTTCCCTCCTAGCACACTGTATGTACATGTACATTGTATACCTCTCTTCATTAGCCCAGGTGGAGCAGAACAGTAGGATGTTAAACCCCATTTCACTGATTTCGTATAGTGAATTTAAAATAAATATATCATGTAGCATGTTTCTATGTAAATATAGTTGGTTACAGTATATGAATAAGCATATCTGTTTCCGTTTTATTTTTAGACAGTATAAACACTAGTGTTTTTCTATACATCTTGAGTATGTTATGTCGATTTATCGCTCTATAAATGAGCATGTTATTATTAATAATACCAAAGTTAGCAGAACGGAATCTGAGTTTGTGTCATTACCCTCTCAAGTATGTCTGGGGGGCTAGTCATGTTTAATTGTAGTTTAGATACGAATGTGTGTAATAAGAGAAGATATAACCCTATTAAAATATATTTTATTATAGTTTATAATATACATCTACACACTATGTATTGTAATAATACCGTTACTTGAGTCAGGATATATCAGACTTCTTTATGTATATCTCACACGTTACAACCACCAACCATGACTCAATAAAACTCTCATAGATATACTTTAGATATTTGCGCATTTTTATAGGTTTTTTTTTTTTTCCATTATTAAAAAGGGCTTACACAGTCTAGACACAATACAATTTTATTTTTAAAAGAAAAGAGAAATTGGGTTAAGGTTTGGTTTATTTTTTGTCTGTATTAACATTTAAACATACATTATGCAAGAGCTAAATCTGCCAATGGCAGATCTTTCTTTAGGCCTAAAATTTTATCAAGATTATTAATTAGACATTAATTAACTTATCCAGACCATAATCAACTCTCGATGGCATCGCTAGCCTGCGATATTTACTGCTGCCCGACTTCCATTTATAATTTAATCATAAAATGGATGATCAAGACTATGTTTTTTATCGTACCGACTTTAGTAATAATGATCGAGGCTAGGCCGAAATTTCAATCGCTTAATTCTCGGTTCATAGTAGATCAATTTGACTGAAATTTTCAGCAAATTGCCTTTACATTATCTAGTTTTTAACTATTATAGTGAGAACTGCCAGCTTTTGATCTCCCATAATGTATGTTTAAAGAAGTTAAACCTGTTTGATTTACATGTATGTCAAAATAAAGTATAGAATTGGTTGATCTGATTAAAATTTTGTTTAGAAATAAAAAGAGTCAACTGGCGTGGTTTCGATTGCCCGGTTGTACGGTTGTACATTACAAGGAGTAGGGTCGTCTGACTGTCCAACCTTGTGGGTTTTCTCCGGGTCCTCCGACTGCTAAAGACCCCTACGTGCAAGCGATTTATAGAAATAAATGTTAGTCCTGAAATGACCTGGTTTGTGTTGAGTGGACATTAATCTCTCTCTCTCTCTCTCTCTCTCTCTCTCTCTCTCTCTCTCTCTTATGTGAAAATGTCTCCAGTAGTAATTATTATTGTTGTATATTATTAGCATTGGTTGGAACCTACCAAATCTTTATCCAGTCAACTCAAAGGTAAATTATAACTAACTTATCCTCAGCTATTATTATTATTGCATGGACTCCTGACATACTCCTTGAATCAATGAATTAATGCACATTTCAATGCATGCGTCTAGTTGAGATACTCTGTCCATCTCTTGAAGCATTCTGTTCCCATCTGTTGATTACCCAAAACCCACCTTCATGTAGTCAAGGTATATATAAAGCGCACATATGAAGTTTACCGGTATGTGCAATAGTGTTATGCAGTACAGTATTATACACATGTATTGTCATAACCAGGTGGTTTGTGAATTGGGGTTTAAATGAATTTATGATGACCAACTTTGATGATACAGTCATTAATGCAGTTAACTGAGATGGTGCTAATACAGTTAACTGGGATTGAGCATTAAATCAGCCAATACAGTTATCTGTGATGGTGCAAAAGAAAATCCTTCTGGTTCCTGGTTGGAGCCATGGTGGCTAAGTGAGTAAGGCACTAGCTTGCTATTCTTATGTTGGCGGAGAAAGTTCCCTTTGATTTTCCAGAGTAGTAGGACATTAAACCCCTTTTAATTTCATTTCCTGTTCCTAGCTGCATGAATTATTTCAATAATGTATTTTGAGCATTTTAAGTACTATTTAGAAATTTATATCTTTATTAAGATAGAGCCATATCATTCTTCATTGTGCAAACTGTTTAAACAGCATTTATTAATTAAACACATTAAAATAAACACAAGAGTGCTATGGAAAATCGTGACAAGGAGTAGGGTCACCTGTCCAACCTCGTGGGTTTTCTCCAGGTCCTCTGGTTTCCTCACGCTACTAAAGACCCCTACGCACAAGTGAATTATTGAAATAAAATTAAACCATATATTAGTCCCAAAATGACCTAGTTTGTGTCGAGTTGACGTTAAACCCCATTTCTTTCTCTCTATGTATTTTTAATCGGAGCTGCATTTCTACAGTGATTCTCTTGTCGTCTTCTTGTGCTTGAAACTTTGTAGAAACGTAGCTCTGATGAAATTTATTTTTATTCAGTTTTAAATTTGGAGAATTTTGATTGAATTGTTACATTATATTTTGTGCATTAGATTTCACCATTCTAGTATTATGCATCTTCTATTGTTTCAGCATGCTCTCTTCCTTTCACATTTTATTTTGGTGTCAAATTTTACGCAGCAGATCCGTGTAAATTACGGGAAGAAATTACCAGGTAGGAAATAAAAGCAATTAATTTACCTGTAATAATCAGGTAGGGTATAAATAAAACCAATCAATATACCTGAAATAAACAGGTAGAAATATAAAAAATTACCTGAAATAAACAGGTAGGAATATAAACAATTAATTTACCTGAAATAACCAGGTACAAGTAGGGAATACATCCAATTAATTTACCTCAAATAACCAGGTAGGGAATACAACCAATTAATTTAACTCAAATAACCAGGTAGGAATATAAATAATTTACCTCAAATAACCAGGTAGGACTATAAACAATTTACCTCAAATAACCAGGTAGGGAATACAACCAATTATATAATTTACCTAAAATAACCAGGTAGGGAATACAACCAATTGATTTACCTAAAAAAAACAAAACAGGTAGGAATATAAACATTTAATTTACCTGAAATAAACCAGGTAGAGAATACAACAAATTAATTCACCTGAAATAACCAGTTGAATAAAATCATTATTGTTTTGATAAGATGAATCATGTCTAGTTCTGATTTTATTCACAACCTAGCTGTATATATACGGTAAAAGGGACATTAAAACTAATTTTCATCCCGTTTCATTTTCAATACGGGGGATTGCATGGCTGAATAGTTAGCATGTGTGCCCTGTATCATAAGGTCTGTCATTGATTCAACTGGCGTGGTTTCGATTCCACGATTGTATGTGACAAGGAGTAAGGTTGCCTGTCCAACCTCGGGGGGTTTTCTCCGGTTTCCTCCCACTGCTAAAGACCACTACACGCAAGAGAATTATTGAAATAAAATTGAACCATATGTTAGTCCTGAAATGACCTAATTTGTGTCAAGTGGATGTTAAACTCCATTTCTCTCCCTTCATTTTCAAAACTTCTTTTGTCCAAATGGACAAATGAAAAAAAATGTGTAAGAAAACAATCTTTTAAATTTTCTGTTTATCCACCAATTACACAGATTTTTTGAAGGTTTTTCCCTTCAGATTTTTTTATTTAATTTTTTTTTTATTACAGATATTTATTTTTTCTTCAAGTCAAACGAGATATACTTCAAGGGAGATTACCTGTTACTTACGATGAAGCCAAAGAACTCTGTGCTTACGCCGTTCAATGTAAGAAAGATTATGTATTTTTCACGCCTTAATGGACACTTGAAGAAAATCGTAGAATTAGGACACACTAATTTGATGTTTTGTTCTTCGGGGACACCTGTAAAAATGTTCCTTCTTATTTCTTTGGGAAAAAGACCAATTTAAAAAGGGGGATGGATAGCACGTGCGCACTGTATGGTAAGGTCTGTCATTGAGTCAACTGGTGCAGTTTCAATTCCGTGGTTGTACGTGACAAGGAGTAAGGTCGCCTGTCCAACCTCTGGGGTTTTCTCCGGGTTCTCCAGTTTCCTCCCACTGCTAAAGACCCCTACGCATAAGCGAATTATTGAAAAAAAATGGAACCATGTGTTACCCCCGAAATGACGTTTGTGTCGAGTGGCCGTTAAACCCCAATCTTCTCTCTCTCGCTAATTTAAAGCCTAAAAGTACAGGCCCCAAGTTCACAAAGCATTCTCAGACTTAAGTTAAAGATAGGTTGATATCCAGATATTTCTGCCAAATAAAAGGAGGTTTTGATTAAGAAAATAATTTGTTATATTTTATAGCTGAATTGGGCGACTTCGATCCGAATCGTTACACGTCTGGATATATTTCTGAGTTCAGATTTTTACCCAATCAGACTGAAGAACTGGAAGATGAACTGGCAGCCTTACATAAACGATTAGTGTAGGTACCTTGTTTATCATGTTCAGGGGGTGGGATGGTCGAATGGTTTAACACATGCACTTTAGATCATAAGGTCTGTCATTGAGGGGGGGTTGGATGGCGAAATGGTTAGCGTGCGCATGCTCTATCATAAAGTCTGTCATTGAGTCGACTGGCGTGGTTTCGAATCCCTGGTTGTACGTGACAAGGAGTAGGGTCGCCTGTTCAACCTCGTGGGTTTTCTCCGGGTCCTCCGGTTTCCCTCCCACTACTAAAGACCCCTACGCGCAAGCGAGTTATTGAAATAAAATTAAACCATATGTTAGTTCTGAAAAGACCTAGTTTGTGTCGAGTGGACGTTAAACCCCATTTCTCTCTCTCTCTCTCTCTCTCTCTCTCTCTCTCTCTCTCTCTGTTATTGAAACAAGTGATGTGGTTTCGATTCTTAGCTTCTATGTGACGTTGGAGTAGGATTGCCTGTCCAACCTTGTGGGTTTTTTCCAGATCCTCCCACCGCTAATTGAACCATATGTTAGTCCCCAAATTACTCAGTTTGCGTCCAGGATGGTATGACATAACAAGGTGCAGTTGACAATTGGTATTTGATGAAGAGTAGGTTGAACTGCCACTGTCTGGGCAAAATTCCCTCATAGCACAGTACATTACATACATGTATTGGGTGGGGGGGGGGGATGTCTGAATGGTTAGCGCAAGCTCGTTGTATCATAAGGTCTGTCATTGAGTCAACTGGCGTGGCTTCAATTCCCGGGTTGTACGTGACAAGGAGTAGGATCGCTTGTCCTACCTCGTGGGTTTGCTCCGGTTTCCTCCCACTGCTAAAGACCCCTGCGCGCAAGCGAATTATTGAAATAAAATTGAACCATATGTTTGTCCTGAAATAACCTTATTGTGTCGAATGGACGTAAACACCCCCCCCCCCTCTCTCTCTCTCTGATAGTATTGTGAAACATAATCTAGATATATTTTTGTTTGTAGAGGTCAGGTACCTGCTATAGCTGAATATCGTTATCTAGAGAAAGCTAAATGGTTAGAAATGTACGGAGTAGATCTACATCCAGTTTTGGTAAGTGGGGGGTGGGGTGGCCGAATGGTTAGTGTGTATGCGTTGTATCATAAGGTCTGTCATTGAGGCAACTTGCGTGGTTTCGATTCCCTGGTTGTACATGTATGTGGCCAGGAGTAGGGTCACATGTCTAACCTCATGGGTTTTCTCTGGATCCTCCAGTTTCCTGTCAAAGAAGGGTTTTGATCCTGATGTAGACTGAGAAGGTACCTTGTCAGTGGTGCACTCAGAAGGGCCTGTTAAGAAAATAAGTTCAGAAAACCGAGGCCCTGTTTTTATATTGACTTGAACTTTAAAGAAACCATGACAGTTGAATTTGGATGACGAGGAGGCAGCAACGCTCTGGTCCGAACATGAACAGAGATGGGAACGACTTGCTACTTGACTTGAAATATTTATTGCGACTAACACTCAGCAGTTGTGGCGACTCACAACTTGAAAAGGCTTAGGACTTTAGTCGCGAAAAGGGGGCATAACTTTAACTCACCTTATTTGCTGACTCGACTCAGACTCAAGGTGCCGCTACTTGGGACTCGACTCAGACTCAAGGTGCCGCTACTTGGGACTCGACTCAGACTCAAGGTGCCGCTACTTGGGACTCGTCTCGGACTCAAAGGGCCGCAACTTATGATTCGACTCGGACTCGAGGTCCCGTGTTTTGTTCCCACCTCTTGTACACCCATCTTCAATAGTCCTGTTGGTACAGGAATTTAATTTCATATAAGCTCAAAATCACTTTTGAAGATTGTAGATTTATTATGATCTTGTTTTTCTATTTTACAGGGAGAGAAAAGTTTGGAGTATTTTTTAGGTTTAACACCAACTGGTATTGTAGTATTTAAAAATAAAGCTAAGATTGGGAATTATTTCTGGTAAGTAATGATGACCTGGAAATAATCAACATTTTAACTTTGTGTCGGATATTTATTTTAAACTAGCGGATGATCCAGCGCTGCATAGGTTGTGCCTTTAACTCTGAAACTAGAAGTGGTAGGCCAACGGCACCAGGCCTATGTTACTGCCCGGTCCAAGCTACCCCTATGCACCAAATTTTAGCCTTAGGACAGTGCTAGCTTAGCCGCCAATCCAGAACAGACATACAAACAAACAAACAAACGACGATCACACACTTTAATATAGATATTATTAAAGCTGGGGGGTCGGATGGCCAAATGATTAGCACGTGTGCGCTGTATCATAAGGTCTGTCATTGAGTCAACTGGCGTGGTTTCGATTCCCCGGTTGTACCCGACAAGGAGTAGGGTCGCCTGTCCAACCTCATGGGTTTTCTCCTCACACTGCTAAAGACCCCGACGCGCAAGCAAAATATTGAAATAAAATTGAACCATGTGTTAGTCCCGAAATGGCCTAGTTTGTTTTGAGTGGACGTTAAAACCCATTTAAGCTCAGTGAGTAAGACTCTCGCTCGCTAACTAGAAGATCTCAGCTTCACTCCCAGTGTTGTGAGAGAAAGATCTTCAAGAGGACCTGCCAAGGACAGTGTCTAGTCGTTCGAATGGGATGAAAAACCAAGGTCCTTTCGACAGCTGGAATTAGGATTAAGAGTAGGCTGTAGCACCATTGTTCGGGCAAAATTTTCCTCACAGCACACTGTATGGCGTATGTCTGTCTTCATTAGCCCAGTTGGTGCAGAACAGTAGGACGTTAAACCCCATTTCATTTTGTTTCACTTTTGGATGGATTTTGTAATCTTGCGGGTAGGAGATATCCAATTAGAGTTTTTCATCCTTTTCTATACGTCTGTTTCAGGCCAAGAATTTCAAAAGTTACATTTAAAGGAAAAGTTTTTATAATCAAAGTACGAGATAAAAGTGTAAGTGTTTTATGATAATAGTTTTTACCAACGATGTTTATAATAGTTTTTACCAACGCTGTTTATAATAGTTTTTACCAACGATGTTTATAATAGTTTTTACCAACGTTATGTATAATAGTTTTTACCAACGTTGTTTATAATAGTTTTTACCAACGCTACTTATAATTATTTTTACCAACTCTATTTATAATAGTTTTTACCACCACTATTTATTATATTTTTTTCCAACTCTATTTTTATAGCCAGTATTACGATCCTAACCTTAGCTTAGATTGGGGGAGGCGTGGATGACCGAATGGTTAGCGCGTGCGGCTATTATCATAAGGTCTGTCATTGAGTCAACTGACGTGGTTTTGATTCCACAGTTGTATGTGACAAGGAATAGGGTCGTCTGTCCAACCTCGTGGACGTTAATCCCCATTTATCTCTCTCTCTCTCTCTCTCTCTCTCTCTCTCTCTCTCTCTCTCTCTCTCTCTCTCTCTCTCTCTTAACTTAGATTGAGTCAGATTAAAGAGATACCAACTATATCGTTGTAAATACTTAAAAAAAATTGTAGTTTGCAAGCAAGCCTGGAAATAAGGCACCTGTCACTGACAGTGTCAGACACAGATTCAGGCTTTGTCAGGCACAAAACCTCTGGTGCCTGTCATTTTGTCCGGCAGTGTTTTTTTGTTTTTTATTGATATTATTAATACATGTCCGGCACTAAGTTGAAAATGTCAGGTACAATTTCATTAGTGCCTGACATTTTGTCAGGTACATCTAAAACCGTTGTTTCCAGGCCTGTTTGCAAGGGATTCAAAAATCCCCTCCAATGGTCAATTGTGCAGGGCTTGAGAGCCAGGAATAGTGTCTAGTCGTTTGGATAGAACAAAAACAACACCTAGACCTAGCAGATGGGATTAAAAAGAAAGCAAGCGGAAATGCTGCTGTCCGTCAAACCAATATTTTACTGCATGGTGTATGATCTTCTTCATTAGCCCATTTGTTATTTCTATGTTTGTGGAAGTGGAACCACAGTGGCTCAGTGAGTAAGTTGCTGGCTCATTAACCAAGAGTTCTCAGGTTTTATCACGGATATTCAAGCGTGATTTCCCCTTGTCAGTGGTGCAGGATGAAGGGCCTGACAAATATCGCGATCTAGTCATTCGGATGAGATGAAAAACCTGAGGTCCCGTGTACAGATTGGCGTGAACTTAAAAGAACGCATGAGTTGGAAATCAAAATAAATAGTAGACTTTAGTGCCACTGTCTGGGCAAGATTCCCTTCATAGCAGACTGTATGATTGTCTCATTAGCCCAGTCGTTGCAGAAAAGTAGGATGTTAAACCTCATTTCATTTATTTTTGTAGAACGATGAACATAGTTACGCTTTTGAACTACAAACGAAATCAGCCTGTAAACATTTATGGAAATGTTGTGTGGAGCATCACGCGTTCTTCAGGTATTTAATGTAGATCATCACGTTATAATTGTGTTTTATACTTACCTTTCATCATAACTATAAAATATGAAATTATTGATATCTGTATATTCATATAGCAACTGTTTCCATGGTGATATGATGTAGTTATTGTGTGAGGAAAAATAGAACAAGCCTTTATAAAAAGATAAGATAATCTCTTTTGGGGGGGGGGGGTAGTGTTAAACTCTTAGAGGACATTCTCTAGTCTCTATAAGAGTTACTAAGAAAACTTACACACCTCCAGGATAAACCTCTCATAGAAACTATTGATGTTTTACACACCTCCATGATAAACCTCTCATAGATACTATTGTTATTTTATAATTTCATGTTTTATTGTTAATAAGATGTCACAATTTTGTTTTTGCTTTTTATATGACTAATATTCATGACCAACATTATAAATTCATTCAATCCTATTCAGGCACTAGAGCAGTAGCAGGCAGCACTTTTTGGGGGGTTGTCCTTTTGATTAACTGAATGGACAATAAGTTGCTTTTCTGTTAGAACAAGTAATTTTAATTTCATTTGGAAACACTGCTTTTTTTCCCCTACGCACAAGCGAATTATTGAAATAAAATAGAACTATATGTTAGTCCAAAAATGACCTAGTTTGTGTCGAGTGGATGTTAAACCCCATTTCATCGCTCTCTCTCTCTCCTCCCCCCTTATATAAAACCTTATTCCATTCTTTACTTGACCGGGAACTGATCTCCAAGCGATACTCGTCTCTGTTGTTCTTGGGGAGAACACTCTTTCTTAAAAGCCTAAGGCTCCGTCAATTCAAGTGAAATATATATGTTCCTTGGACAATTGCACATTGATTGACGTACTTCGAATTTCGAGATGTCACTCTTTCGAAGATGGCGGTGATGACGTCGTCATCGGTTCCTGGTCCTTATAGTTTTATTATACTTGGTTCTTTCATTGGCTTGAGTCAAATTAAAATTATGGCCTCTTTGTTCCTGGGCCCTTATTCACGAAAACTTAAACTAAGATATAATCGAAATTTTAAGAAATACTGCAATTCGATTGGCTGACCAATATGCAAATTGTATATATGCAAATTGATTTTACTAGTCAGCCCATCGAATTGCAGTATTTCTTAAAATTTTGATTGTATCTTAGTTTAAGTTTTCGTGAATAAGGGCCCAGGTCAATATAGATTTATCATACCTGCTTCTGTCTTTGACCCGAGTCAACTCTTAAATTATGGTGTCTTGTTCCTGGTCAATTTAAATTTATTATACCTGTTTCTTTCATTGGCTTGAGTCGACTCTTGAATTATGGCGTTGTGCTCGGTTCCTATTATACAGTGGACTCTGTCACATCCGATGTCTGTTCACTCCGGATTGCTGTGACATCCGACATGATTTTCATGTCCCGATTTATTTCCTTATTACTTCAGCCAAAAAATCGCTGGTAAATCCGGATTCTGTATGTTCCGGATTACGACATCAATCAGCCGTCCCGTCACATAATTTCCATTGAATCGACACCGTATAATCCGTACTTCAAACGGTGGGTGTGAAGCATCCAATTATCGGTGAGATTAAAACTCAATGTGTGTGAAGCCAGAAAAGATTAACATACAATCACCAATCAATTATCGGTGAGATTAAAACTCGCAAGCACCGGTCTGCGTTGATTACTTTGATAATGTTATAAATTCTCTGTTGATTATTTTACAATTTATAATCTCTTGTAAGAGTGCGCTTGGTATTTGATTTTAGTTACTCATGTCAAATACCGCGACATTAAACACTTTGCACAGATTAAGCTCAGTATCCCGACATGCTGTGTGATCCGAAATATTGTAACGATCCCGTACGATGCCGGATGTGACAGAGTCCACTGTACCTGCTTCTGTCTTTGTCTTGGGTCAACTCTCGATCTATGCGTTAAAGAATATAGAAATATAAGATCTATAAAATGATTTACGTAGACAATTAGTCCTATTTTATAATGGAGTAGTCATGATATGATTTTTTATTAATTAATTGCTTTAATTAATGAGATTCTTATTATTTTACAGTTTTGTTAAATTTTATACTAATGAAAGATAATCATTAAATATTAATTATTTTATTTTGTGATCTAATTTTAATTGTTTTATTTTGTGATCTAATTTTTCTGTTTTTCACCTCCTTTAGTCACTGTTTGTTATTAATTATATAATGAACAGCTAAAGAAACTTATACAAAAAAGAAATTGGTTATGACATTTGAAAACTCGCTCGCTAGCCTGGAGGTCGGGTGTTCGATCCCTGCATTGGCTGAGAAAGTTCGTCCAGATTTTCTGGCGTGGTTCTCCCTTGTCAGTGATGCAGGACGGATGGCCTGACAAGGACAGCTGTCTAGTCGTTCGGATGGGATGGAAAACTGAGGTCCCGTGTACACGTAAAAGATCCCTTGGCAGTTGGAATTCGATATAAGAGTAGGCCGTAGTGCCGCTGTCTGGGCAAAATTTCCCTCATAGCACACTGTATGGCGTATGCCCGTCTTCATTAGCCCAGGTTAGGAGCAGAAAAGTAGGACGTTAAACTCCATTTCATTTCATTTAATACAAATATAGCCAGAAATTGCCTGGGCAAAGAGTTGTTAAAATTGTAACATCTCGTTACTTCATGGTCGTTGAAATAACCTGTCTTCATTAGCCCATTTTGTGCAGAAAAGTCAGACTTCAAACCTCATTTCATTCATTCATTCAAACTTTCTCACTTTTGAGTTTTCGTTGTTAGTTTCTTTAGCTGTTTATTATAGTATTTATCTATAAAACATCCTGTGTATATATATATATATATCTATATATCTACGTAGACTGACACGAGTTCACGATGGTTCAAATACAACTAAAATATTTAGTCTGGGTTCTAAACATCGCTACAGGTAAGATCAGCATGCTTCGTCATCTTCTACTCCATACCTGGAAATTAGGTACACCTGACAAAATATCTTCTACTCCATACCTGGAAATTAGGTACACCTGACTTAATATCAGGCGCTAATGTACTAGTAACTGACAAATATCAGGCACTAATAAACTAGTAACTGACAAAATATCAGGCACTAATGCTTATAATCTGATTTTTTGATTTTTCCGTTTGATTCCATTATAATAGGGCGTGGATTGTTATAATGTTGAATACAGTAGCTTTTGTTCATATTTTAAACGGAAACACAGATGCAGCCGTGGCGAAATTCTCCTTATTTGACAAATACTTTCTTATATTAAAGATACATTATGTAAGACTTAGATCAAGAGCTAACCATTCTTGCTATAATAGCTCAAAAATAGATAATGTAAAATGAAAATATAATTCAGATTACTTCATTCTGAGCAAAGTTATAACTATTTGTAATTTTGACAAGATGTGTGCATTATGGTAACCAGGACACTGGTATATTCAAGACTTTGCCTTGTTTTCCCATTCTTAATTGGCGACCCGTTCTAATCTAGTTAAAATCTTGATTATCCGATGCCATTGAGAGTTGATTATAGTCTGGATAAGTTAATAAATGTCTAATTAATAGTTTAGATAACATTTCAGGCCTAAAGAAATACCTGCAGTAGGCAGATTTAACTCTTGCATAATGTATGTTTAAATTTTTACAACATGCCTGCTTACTGTTTATTAGTGTTGGCCTTTCTTAAAACTATTATTCAATTCACCATTCAATTCTGTAACGGTGGAATACTATAAACGTTGTCTATTTTAGTGGTAGGACAGAACGACAGGCCCAAGCAGATCAACTTACCCATAATACATCACAAAGCGTTATACGTGTTGCTAGCAGACGACAACAGAGAAGAATAAATTCTGATACCAGATTAAATGGTGAATATTTTTATATTCATACTTGAATTGATAGAAATAAACCCCGAACATGTCTGTTTAAGGTGGCTCGGTTACTATAGCGATTGCTTACTAACCAGAAGGCTCCGGGTTCAATTCTGGTGGAGGGATTTGGGTGGTCTAGTCGTTTAACACGTGCATATGAAATCACAAGATCTGTCATTGAGTCAGGTGACTTTGTTTTGATTACCCAGAGTATGTGACAGCTAATAATAATAATATACCACAGCTAATAATAATAGTATACGGTCAGTGACGGTGGGGGAGTGGAGAGATCTAGGTCACCCTATACATTGGTGTGTAACTATCTGCTACATCCATGAGATGGGGGGAGGGGGATCTAGGTCCCACTAAACATTGGTGTGTGACTATCTGCTACATCCCTGAGATGGGGGGAGGGGGATCTAGGTTCCACTAAACATTGGTGTGTGACTGTCAGCTACATCACTGAAACGGAGGGGGGGGGGGTCTGTCTTACACATAGGTGTGTGGCAATCTGCTTCTTCCCCGAGATGGGGGGTTGGATGGCTGAATGGTTAGCGTGCGCGCGCTGTATCATAAAGTCTTGTCATTGAGTCAACTGGCGTGGTTTCGAATCCCTGGTTGTACGTGACAAGTAGTAGGGTCGCCTGTCCAACCTCATGGGCTTTCTCTGGGTCTTCCAGTTTCCTCCCACAGCAAGTGTGCAAGTGAATTATTGAAATAAAATTGAGCCATATGTTAATCCCGAAATGCCCTAGTTTGTGTCAAGTGAATGTTAAACCCCATTTCTCTCACTCTCCCAATTCTGGTGTTGGCAAAGAAAGTACCTGAAGATTTTCCAACCTAGTTTCACCTTCTCATTGGTGCTGAACATAGAACCTAATCATTGGTGCAGGACATGTAGGGCCTAATCATTGGTGCAGGACATAGAGCCTAATCATGGACATAGGGCCTAATCATTGGTGCAGGACATAGGGCCTAATCATGGACATAGAGCCTAACCATTGGTGCAGGACATAGGACCTAATCATTGGTGCAGGACACATAAATCCTAATCATTGGTGCAGGACATTAGGGCTGGCATGGCGTATGCCAGTCTTCATTAGCCCAGTCAGAACAGAACAGTAGGACGTTAAACCACATTTTATTTTATTTATATTTATGACTGAGTAGTCGAACATTAGGGTTGTATATCATTGTTACTCATAGATTGAACCATCTGATGAGTTGCAGAAGAATCATGTAGACTAGGACATTTCGTCCTGTTAACATGCGAACCCAATCAAAAGTATAGTACAACGTACTCTATTCTAGATCGAACAGCAATCAAGCACCTCTAATGGGAAATTTCCATTTTAGGCCAACTATTTAATGTTTTGCTGTTGTTGATATACTTGTAGATAATTCTAATAGAATACAGATAACTGATGGTGGTCATGTTACCATGGTGATGGCACCAGAACCTGTCAGAGCGTAAGTTTCTTTAAAGTAAAAATAATAATTGTGTCTCTGTTTGAATTGCTGCAAAAATGTTCAAATTTGTAGGCCTGTGCTCTGCAGTTTGGATGGGATGATAAGAAATGAAATCTGGATTATTCTTGTTTTTTTCTCTTTAATTATTTTCTCAGGCCCCGTCATAGAAGTTTACCAGAATTACAAGGGACAGAATCACCCAGGAGTACGAGATCAGCACCCTGGGAAAATAACCATGAAGGGTAGGTGTAGTGAAATGAATTTCACATTTCAAGTCATTTTTCATTTTTCGGAAATATTTTTTCTAAAGAGTAAAAAATCAAAATATCAATTATAGATAATCACAGGTTCCTTTCAATCTGATTGAAATAACTTTTTCATTCAAATTAATCCTTGCTGAATTGTATTTCAATCCATACTAATATTTGTGACTGTCGCCTGTTTGTCTATCTGTCTGTTCAGATTTGGCGGCTACACTAGCGCTGTCCCGATGCTAAAATTTGATGTATAGGGGTAGCTCGGATTGAGGAGTAACATGAGCTAGACGTTGTTAGATTTCCGGTTTCTTAGTTATACTACTTTCAACCCGTACAGCGCATGATCGTCTGTTAGTGGTAGTTAATCACATGTTGGATTGCAATGACAGCCATTGATGACGTTGGCTTGTATTGAACGGAGTGGAACCATTTTTTGACTGATATTTCTTTTACAGATTGAACTTTCACAATATTATAGTTTGCTCATCGTCAACAAAAGGCTTGATTTCGATTTTTAATTCTGTACATCTTTTCAAGCCCTTCACGTAGTACCCCGTATATTTCAGCACTAATTTTGATTTGGTACTGACCCAGCTTCAGAGCCTATCAGATTCCTCGATCATTCCTAAAATGTCTACCTGTGATAATCAAGGATCCGTGGAGGTCGCCATGTTTGATTTGAGTGTGTTTGTGTCGCAACCTCTGACTGGATGCTACTGTTCATGTGTTTGCGGTAAAGGGAGATGATTTGGCTATAAGTTTGGGAATTGCAAAGCAATGTAGCAACGACTAGGTGGTGTAAAATTTGTGGTTGTTGATTTAAGAACTTGTAGTTTTCTAGGAATGAGGCTTTAACAACTTTCTTGTCAAGTTATTTTATTTGGGTTTATAAGCGGCATATACCATGTCAGAAATATATTCCTTAAAAAATAATGTTCATTTTAATGAAGGAGGATTTGGATAGCATGCACTTTAGATCATAAGGTATGTCATTGAGTCAAGTGGTGTTGTTTCAATTCCACCTTTGTATGTGACAAGTAGCAGTGTTGCCTTTCCAACCTCGTGGGTTTTCTCCACGTCCTCCAGTTTCCTCCCATTGCTAATAAAGACCCCTGTGCACAAGCGAATTATTGAAATAAAGTCGACCCATATGTTAGTCCCGAAATGACCTAGTTTGTGTTGAGTGGTCATTAAACCCCATTTCTCTCTCTCTCCCTCTTTTAATGAAAATTGTTGAGATCAAGTATTATCTCATTTCATAAATATTATCAAATTTAATCTTTCAGGGGTTTGTACACAACTGGTAATTCCCCGATCTCAGCTCGTAGTGATAAAATGTTTTTTCCTCGACATAACCGTGGCGTGTCGGGTAGTGACAGTGAAAGTGGGGTCAGCCACAGGAGAAAGTAAGTAACACTTTCTTACTTAATAGAGTAATGGAAAGCCACGGTGGCTAAGTGGTTAAGACACTGGCTCACTAGCCTGGAGGTCGCATGTTCACTCCCGGTGTTGATCGATAAACTTCATCATGAATTTCCGGCGTGTTTTCCCTTGTCAGTGGTACAGGGCAGAGGGCCTGACAAGGACAACTGCCTAATCGTTTGGATGGTATGAAAAATCTCCATAACTAGGAATGATATTAACACAAGGTACAATTTTATGGATACACAATTACTGAGTTTAATACTAAGTAACATTTTGACAAGGATACTCTTGTCTTTATCAAGCAAACATCGCATTGTATTAAACTCAGTAGTTGTGCATCCATAAAATTAGATGTTGAGTTCGACCGAGTTACTAATTATGAATGCCTATCTCTAGACCCAGGTATAATACTGTTAGTATGTTTTATTTCAGATATTTTCCGTCCAGTCGTAAAGGTTCTGATGGTGAAAGTGATGTCTCTATTCCAAGAAGAAGAAGGTAGGAAATATAATAATATACAATCTATAAAATATAAGTTTAACTTTTGGTTGGCCAAAACTCAGTGCCAGATTGACCTATAGGCTTGACTAGGGACCGTGACCAAGGTACGTGCTCTGCATTCTTAAACACCGGTTGGCATCCTCGGCTTCGGTCGGTGGAAGCGGTCGCTTAACACTAAGAATAACAACCACCTTTAGTTGTGAGGGTCAGGGATTGAGAGGGGCCTCATAAGCACCTGACACTGCATTTGTCTGCCTTTTTACCAATTATCTGTTCTCTTTGAAGACTGGGGACTGGGTGGGCGATTGGTCTAACGCATACACTGTACATCGTATGGTCTGTTACTGAGTGGTGCAGTTTTGATCCCACACTTGTATGTGACACAATCTGATTAAAATACAGATCTATATTTCATTTCGTTTTTTTATACTTTCGATGGCCTTCACTACATGAAGATCTGACCGGTTGTACTGAGAGGTCGCATCAGGGGTCATACATGCAGCCTTTGACTCTATGATTAACCAATCAGCTCTGACGTTACTAGTTGAATACCCACAGTTCTGTGCACTTGCCGCAACAAGCCGTTTCACTGGCTAATCCCTCACATCAGCCAGAACACAGGTTATATAACAACTCATCCAGATCCTACATGTAGTTCAGTAAAAACAAGTAAAACGAATGTTGAACTATAAAAAATGAAACGAAAAATAAGATCTGAAAAAAGAATGTGACAAAGAATAGGCTCGCCTGCCTACTGTCATGTGTTCTCGCTGGGTTTCCTATGCCCCTTTGTAATATTGATGCATTAATCTATTAGTTTTAATTTGAAGCCAAAGAAGAATATTTGCATAAATTTAATGTTATGGTTTATCTTTCAGACGAGAAGGTTTAGATAGCGGTAGTGAATCCGACGTTTCGTATCGTTTCGCTCTACAGAACCGTAGAAACAGAAACTCAAACGATAATATATTACAGGATCGTTCAGAACTTCCACCCATGTAAGTTTCTTTACATAATAGTTTCTCATATCAATACATTAAAATTGTAGGATTATTTAGTTACCATAGAAACTGGTTACCATACACTGTAATCCAGGTATCATTATAATCTTGTGTATCTAGTACTAATTTCTTTCACATTCGTTTAAAGATACATTATGTAAGCTTTAGATAAAGAGCTGGCCATTCTTGCTATAATAGTTCGAAAATAGATAATGTAAAATGACAATAGAGAAAATTTCATTCAAATTACTCTATTGCAAGCGAAGATATTAGCCTTTGAAGGTTTGACAGACGTGTGCAAGAATTTCAACCACCGTACTGGTTGATCGAAGCTAAGTCTCGGTTCTCCATATTTGAAGTATTGCTGAACCATTCTAATCTATTTAATATCGGAGAAATCTGAAGCCATCGAGAGTTGATTAAGGCCTGGATCAGTTAATTAATGTCTAATTAATACTTTAGAAAACATTTCAAGCCTAAAGAAAGACCTGCAATAGGCAGATTTAGCTCTTGCATAATGCATGTTTAATATCAAATCTCTGTTTAAAAATCATTTAAAATCACCAAAAATCATGTAATTTGTACTTAGGCAACACAAATAAAATAAGTTGTTTCTCGGGCACCTCCCGCACGCAAAATTCGTTGCGTATGCGGCCTATTCATTAGTCTTGATGAAAAATAAAAAATATGAAACGCCCGCCCGAACATCGATAAGCAAGTCATAAAAAGAATATGCCGCATGTATCTACATGCCCCATACGTGAATATCCATTCAAATGTATTAAACTGATTCAGATGCAAACGCTCATTTACGGGTCTTTTTTATTGATATCGAAAGAACCTCCATTTTTGTATCACGTGATTTTAATTACCTCCCCTTGTGAACTAGAATTTGATTCGTGTTAAACACCGAAAGTCATTGACAACAATGCAATGTATTTCAATCATTCGATCTTAATCGGCTCATTTTTGCCGGCTTCAGTCGGTCCACGTTTGAAAAAATCCTACTTATAAAACAATGAATCGTAGAACAGGTTAATTATTATAACTTGTGGCTACGAATACGATACGATGATAGTCACCATACCTTAGTCAGAATCTGGGTCATTAGCACATTTAACGGTAGTTTTGATAATCTGGAAAATAATAATTGGATTACACATTTGATGGTTTTACTGACCAGTTGTTAATTAAATTTAAATAGTCATTCGATATAAACCCAAGATAGAACACTGAATATCCTGAGAAACACACCGAATATCCTGAGAAACAGTCATTTCCCGAATCCCGATGACACGTGACATGCATTGGTTGGAATTAGGTCAATCATTATAAACCAGCGATACTAGATTTAGATCTAAGTGATGATTATTTTTGATACACATGCTGACAGAGGCTTACTCTTTAAAATATTGTCGTTATTATGGACGTCTATTAATAGTCGTACGGAATTTTATTTTAAACCAATTTTAATTATGGTTGTCACCATTACCATTAGTAAGCTACATTACGTGAATTAAATATGGAAAATTATTTTCCTTTCAGTCAGTGTTCGGTGTTTGAGTAGACTTGATTTTTGGGTTTATGTTCTAAGTATGTATAATATATAACTGAAAGCAAAACCGTAGACGAGTAATGACTTTCTCATTAAAAAATAAAAAAAAAATAAAAATACAAGGCCGCCCTCCCGCCCCATCAATTTTCAACAATAGCCAAATTTTATTTTGCACCATCCTCTAGCCAGAAATGAGGTAAAAAAAAAAATAACCCACCCTCCCCCCCTATAGTTTCAGCTGTCAGTTGCCCGAGAAACAAGACATTTATTTTGTGTAGCCTTATGTCCAGTTGGCCATTCAATTTTGATAATGAGTGTCCAATTTACAAGTGTTGAATTTCTCAATCACTGTTATAAAAAAAACAACCCAATTGAAAATTGATATATAATGATTCATTTTTGAACAGTGGTCAGGAAATTAAATACTTGTAAATTGGACACTCATTATCAAAATTAATCAGTCAGCTTTAAACTGGACACAAGTACAAATTAGATGATTTTTGGTGATTATAAATGATTATTACGAATTTTTAAACAAAGATTTGATATTAAACAAATGTGAAAGAAATTAGTGCTAGATACACAAGATTAATGATACCTGGGTTACAGTGATAGTTTCTCATGTCAATGCATTTAAGATGTGGCATTATTTAGTTACACCATGGACCTTATAATACATGGACTGGCAACGGCTTAATAACCAAACCTGAGATGTGTGCCGCGCTGTAATTTGAGACACTCACGGTAATTTGAGACGTGTCAATCACGACCAAACGAAAGTTGTTAATGAGTTAAGTCCCTTCGCGGCGTCTGTAGTTACCTGGCATGCGTACTGCTCCATTATGAGTATAATGGCTTCCAACACCTATAAATAAATCTGCGAGCCGTCGGATGGTTATATTTTATTGAATAATATGCCAATAAAATTAAACTTATTTTAAACAAAATTTCTCACTTTTTCTATCTAAAGAAACTGGGCAAAACTTTGGGGTAATTTGGGTCAAATCAAATACAGGTTTATTCATGATTGTTGAACAGTACATGCATTGGTACTTGAAAATATCACAAAACAAAATAATTTTTTAAAAATGTTAATATTTGTTTTAAAAATAAGAATTTTGCCCAGTACAGTAGATAAGATATCAAAGTTTATGGAGAAACGGATCATCAATTCCAAAAAAAAAATAAAATCTTTCACAGATTGAAAGCAAAAATAAATTCACATATTTTCTCATAAAATTGTCCAAAGTGTTATTTTCGTTGTTTTTAGGAAGTAATTAATTATATTTCACTTTTTTAAAAATCGATGATTTTTTTTCCAAACAATGCCTTAGATTCACGTGTATCAGAATTATGTCAGGAAAATATGAAATAATAAATAGATTTTGATTGAAAGCAAAAATCCCGACTCATGTTTTCGATTGTTCATATAACAACAAACAATGGCGACGTCTTTGTTTCGGAGATGCAGTCTACGTGTACTTTGAAGATGGTAATTATAAAGTTGTTTAAAATAAAATGTATACATATATGCACCGGAAATTATAGTTAATGACTTATCTTGTCAAACAAAAATTTATTTAAGCAGTTTTTGTTAAATTCTGGACACAAAACGGAACGATGAAAACGAGTGATTATAGCTAATTAGCGAAGACATTGAGTAATATCGCTATTGGCTTCTCTTGTGTTTTCTCGCGCGAAGTCTCGCGCGGCAGACATTTAGCGATATTGCTTCTCGTAACCAGTCCATGTATTATAAGGTCCATGGTTACACCGCCACAGTTCATCTAGAATTTTCCAGACTGATCTTGATGTAGAATTTTTATTATTAGATTATTAAACATGACCGTTTATTTTATAGGTTGTTTCCATTTGCTGATAAAGAAAATCGTCCAAATGGGTAAGATAATAAAACTGTGTAATGTAGTACTATGCAACGCTGGTTAGATGTGGAAAGCCCACATGCCAAAAACTCCCCACAGCTGACGTGTGACGCATGCTCTATTCTCTGCTACAAGTTTTAGTAGTCTTGTGATGATCTAGTTTTGTCTCTGGTTATATTTGTAATTCTCTTCTTTTTGCTGGGGATCACGTGGCTAAGTGGGTAAGACACTAGCTCGCTAGCCTGGAGGTCGGGTGTTCGATCCCTGCATTGGCCGAGAAAGTTCATCCAGATTTTCCGGCGTGGTTCTCCCTTGTCAGTGATGCAGGACGGAGGGGCTGACAAGGAAAGCTGTCTAGTCGTTCGGATGGGACGAAAAACCGAGGTCCCGTGTACACATTGGCGTGCACGTAAAAGATCCCTTGGCAGTTGGAATTCGATATAAGAGTAGGCCGTAGTGCCGCTGTCCGGGCAAAATTTCCCTCATAGCACACTGTATGGCGTATGCCCGTCTTCATTAGCCCAGGTTAGGAGCAGAACAGTAGGACGTTAAACTCCATTTCATTTCATTTCATTTCTTCTTTTTGCTAGGACTCCTGTGTATTGTCTCCTTACTATCTCAGTAGTTAAGACGTTTATCTACCAGGAGCAACAATGCAACAGTTTGTTTTAACATTTCATATCAAGCACTGGATACATAGGTTACAAGCTTAGGTTACATTACAACACTTAAAGTATACATGTCTTTCCCTCCACCAACTAATTTGCTGAACGAGTTTACTGACGAAACGACTACATCATATGGCTCCCCTACAACTTAACGGGGCATTCTGAATCCAGATGGTGTCTCTTGAATCTCTCCAAGAATCTACATAGTGCCTAAAGACCTAAATAAGTCTTATAACATTGACGGTGTCCTTGAGACAGCTCTGTCAAATATTTAATTCCAATGTTATAAGTACAGTAAGATTTGGGGGGTTGGATGGCTGAATGGTTAGCGTGCGCGCGCTGTATCATAAAGTCTGTCATTGAGTCGACTGGCGTGGTTTCGAATCCCCGGTTGTACGTGACAAGGAGTAGGGTCGCCTGTCCAACCTCATCAGTTTTCTCCGGGTCCTCCGGTTTCCTCCCACTGCTAAAGACCCCTACGCGCAAGTGAATTATGTAAATAAAATTAAACCATAAGTTAGTCCCGTAATGACCTAGATAGTGTCAGTGGACGTTAAACCTCATCTCTCTCTCTCTCTCTCTCTCTCTACAGTAAGATTTATTGTATGAATCACTTTTACGGTGTATGTTATGATTTAGGTCCCATCTCGAGGTCAATCTGTTTAAAATACAGATCTATATTTCATTTCGTTTTTTTATACTTTCGATGGCCTCTACTACATGAAAAGATCTGACCAGTTGTTGAGGGATTTCGGGTCAGAGGTTATACAAGCGGCTTTTTACCTATAACATTAAATATTTGATTAACCAATCAGTGTTGATGTTTCTAGTGGGTTACCCACTGTTCCATGCAACTCAGTCCAAAACTCGCCGTAAAAGACCTTTTCATTGGCTAATCCCTGACATCAATAGAAAGGCAGGTTATATAACAATTCTTTCAGATCCTTGCGTAGTAAAGACAAGTAAAACGAAATTTTTAACCATAAAAACGAAACGAAATAGGATCTGTGTTTTAATCAGATTGATCTCAATGCCTAAATATGTTTAAATTCTATTTTTAGATCTGTGCCGTCACTTCATTCTGCTCCTGGTGGAGACGCCAAACAACGCAGACGAAGAAGGTCAGTAATTTTTAGAAACCCACATTTCATGTGGATGTATTTTGTTATCAACTGTGTCCACCTGTCTTTCTGTCCGTCAACTGACTACAACTCAGAGGTCTTAGCAGATTTTTTTTCAAATTTTCAGTGATTTCTTAGTGGGGTGTAAAGAATCCTGTCAAATCTATGTTTCAATTGAAAATCGATTAATTCTCCCCCAATTTAGATCTATGAGATATTGTGAATGCTATACAGGACGAATTTCTTAATGGAAATGTTTAAAAACTTGGTGAAATAGTTCATTAAGGGAGAACGCGGGTCGAAAAAAATTGAATTTTCTAAATAATTTCACTTTTTAAGTAATGACAGTTTTTGATAGTTTGAAGCCTTCTCTTTGAGTTCCCAAAAACAAAATATCAAAAATTTCATTTTTTTTTATGTAAAAAAAGTACATTTTCTGTTGAATGGTAAACATTTCTGAACCTGTACATGTCCGAATTTTGATAAAATAACGTCTAAAAAATCCCGATTTTAAGCCTCCACATGTCCATTGACAGCCATGTTTGATATACCGTTGGAAAGAGTAAACAAAGAATAGCATGATGGGAATAAAAATAATTTATTAATTCCCGTCAGTTTTCTAAGCGCCAAAAATGCTCGAGAATTTCCTTTTTTGGTTAGGTGACCTGATCGCGGGGTCAATATATCCGACGTAATAACAACGACATCTCCTCATTGGTCTAACGGAATTCCGTCACCTAGCAACGGGATGCCGTGATGCGCACGCTTTATAGACACAGTTAACCACTCTTTTTGTATAACAATATTACTTTATAAGAAGTCCAAGACTACGATCGATGTCCCGCAAGCCTATTTAGCGATATTTACCGATGAATTTAATAGTTTTTTTTAATTATTTCTAATAAACCGTGATTAAAAAAAATAAAACATTTTATGGGGATCGTAATTTTTATAGCCGTGTCCAACTTTGTCGACCGGTAATTGTTTTTAGTCTTGTTTGTTATGACCCAAATAAAACAATTTAGTATGATTTACTTTTTGGTGATTTTTCTCTGATTTGATTTTTTGGACGAAAATGCAATTTCAAATTACTAGATCTCAAAAAGTTACTAATATTTTTACTTGAAATTTGCAACAGTTATAGATTAAAGTCTTTTGAATGAGATAACAGAGAGTTTTTGTATTTACTGTTTTTATTTTTGTAAATAATTCAGTTTTTAGTTCATGTTTCGTTAAAAAAAAACACACACTTATATAAATGCTTATAAATTAATAAAAATACAGAGGACTCCAAATGTCTCTCTGTCATTTCCTAGCTTTATGCATTGTTTATAAGGTGTGAAAGTTTCAGAACTGTAGAGTTATTATTAACAGAGATCTAGCACTCCTACGAATTTCCCCATTTTTTCTTGATTCGTTGGTAACCATGGCAACCAATGTCCGATTTGGGATTTGATGAAAAAAATCAGCTAACTAAATGGTCTTTCTAGTATATACAAAGTTTCAACCCAAAATAACATTAAATTTTGCCTGGACAGCGGCGCTACGGCCTACTCATATAACGACTTCCAACTGTCAAGGAATCTTTTACATGCACGCAAATGTCTACACGTGACCTTGGTAGAAGCCAGAGTTATTATTAACAGAGATCTAGCACTCCTACGAATTTCCCCATTTTTTCTTGATTCATTGGTAACCATGGCAACCAATGTCCGATTTGGGATTTGATGAAAAAAATCAGCTAACTAAATGGTCTTTCTAGTATATACAAAGTTTCAACCCAAAATAACATTAAATGAAAAAAAAAAATTTCGCCCCTCGTTCCCCCTTAAGCCAAATGAAATTGTAAAAAAAATGTTTAGACTATAAGTTTCTAAGACGTTTGCCATAAATATTTTTACTTTTAAAGATTCTGATACCAGGAAAAGTTATCAACAGAATAGCCAAGTTTTTATCTCAATATCATCCAATCATACAAAGCACGAATTATTTGTCAATTTAAATCAACATTGATGTTGTGATCTTACCGGGAAAAGATGGGCTGCTGACATCCAATAAACATTTTACCATTGGTACATGAATTATGTACCATAATGCAGTTCAATGCCATTTGTAACGGGACTGGAAGAATGAGGATAGACATATTCCACAAGTCATGTCAAACTTCTGTATATAACTCTTTCAAACTGTACTTGAATTTAACACAGCAGGATTCATTGATATTACTGTTAGTTATTTCGATTGACTTGGCTAGTGGTGGGTGGATTAGGGAGTCTGACAGGCACCTGTCTTATGTTCATTGTTGTATTCCGATTCAACTTTGGAAGAGTCGGTTTCTTTAAATACAATTTGGAGCGGCAGTAGTGGACTCGTGATAACAATCTTCCAGATTTCATCTCACTTGCAGTGCTCACAAATCGTCACTTTTCTCGCGATGGCCACAGAGATCACAATAGAGCATTTTTCTCAACTTAAAAGTATCAGATATGTCAGTTCGCGAGAAATGTGACTAAATGTGGTGTTTCCTAGTCGTTCGAACGGGACAAAAAAGACGAGGTTCACACATTAATATAATTTTTTTTTTTATTAGAAGAAGTAAATCACCTGGTAATAAACGACCACCGGAAGAATTAAAACAACATTTCGAGTAAGTCGACATTTATTCAATATCATATTTATAATGTGATATATTTTGAACAATACCATATTTAGTATGTAGTATTTTTTGAACAATTCCATATTTAGAATGTAATACATTTTGAAATATGCCATATTTAGAATGTAATATATTTTGAATAGCACCATATTTAGAATGTAATATATTAATAGTATAATTATTATATATATACTTTAGGTATGATTTAGTTGATATGGAAGGTGTTATATTTATATATGGTTGATACAGACGTTGTTATAATTGTATATTATATATATTTTAGGTATGATTTAGTTGATATGGAAGGTGTTATAATTGTATATTATATATATTTTAGATATGATTTGGTTGATACAGAAGGTATGACAGATGAACAATTAAAGGATATAGCATTTGTTTCTGTAGAGTGAGTCAATTATTTATGTTTTATATTTTACCCTCTATTCGTCACTGGAGTCAAAATGGGTCAGTGAGAAAAAGGTTGCCTCGCTAACCTGGCGGTTCCATGTTCGATTCCTGCATTGGGCAAGAAAGTTAGAGATTTTCAGGCATGGTTCCCCTTTCTCAGTGGTGCAGGACAGATAAGACGAAAAACCAAGGTCCTGTGTAAAAACATTGGCATGCACGTTAAAGATACGTTGGCCGTTGAATTTCTGTATAAGAGTAGGCTGTAGCGCCGCTGTCTGGGCAAAATTTCCCTCATAGGTGCCAACTCCTAATTAATTTACATGTCCGCTCTCCATCTTAACTCAGACTCTCTCACCTTGACTGAATAATCTGCTTTGGATACATTACATAACACAGTTTGTGTCGAGTGGACGTTAAACCCCATTTCTCTCTCTCTCTCTCTCTCTCCAGCCATTATGGTAATGACTTAGAGTGCCATCTGGACAACCATGGGTGCCAATAAGGATATTTGAATAATTCCGCTTTCGTGTGTCAAGATGGTACGATAGCATATCCATACGATCTGACATTATGTAACAATTGTAAGACATTTAATCTTTCAATGGTGGGAATTACGCTAGTAATTACAAAGAGAGGAGATGAAAAATGTTTTAATATCAATTATAAAAATTGTATAAATATAATCACTGCGATGTTTTAACAAGATCTCACAAGTCGTTATCAAGCATATAACACTTGTGTCATTTGTGTTATATGCTTGGTAACGACTTGTGAAATCTTGTTGAAAGGTCGCAGTGAAATAAACCATAGTAATTGTTATTCCATAAATAGTGTGTTATTTGATTATATTCCAATTTTACTAAATGCCATTCAAAGAATACATCAGATCATAAATCTTTACTCTTTCCTTTCAGGACTAAAGCAGAACCTTTTAGAGTTCGTTTATCACCTCGAAGTCGACAGAAAGCTCGAGTTAACAGACATCGAAGCTTTGGGTAGGTGTATTTATTAAAACCACAGAGACTGGTCATTGATAGCTTTGGGTAGGCTTAATTTATTAAAACTGTAGAGACAGGTCATTGATAGCTTTGGGTAGGTGTATTTATCAAAACCGCAGAGACAGGTCATTGATAGCTTAACAACTCATTGTTAGATTGAATTTCCTACGAATGGATGCCTGTCCAACCTCTTGGGTTTTCTCCGGGTCCTCCGGTTTCCTCCCACTGCTAAAGACCGCTACGCGAAAGCGAATCATTGAAATAAAATTTAAAAAAAAAAAACATGTTAGTCCCGAAGTGACCTAGTTTGTGTTGAGTAGACGTTAAACCCCATTTCTCTCTCTTTCCTACGAATGGAGGTTGTTTGTAGATGTTGTAGTCATAGTAACAAGGTCACTGCATGGGTCATTTTTTGCAAATGGAGAATTATATTCTGTATTGGTCTTTGACTTTCACAGAGATTTTATTGCATGTTTTACCGGACTACTGGGCGTTTGTAGAATAGTTTGATGTCAATCCGATTAAATTACAGATCTATATTTTGTTTCGTTAATTCATACTTTCGATGGCCTCTACTGCACTAAGATCTGCTTAGTCGTTTGGATGGGACAAAAAACCAAGGTCCCGTGTAGACATTTGCGTGCACGTAAAAGATTCCTTGACAGTTGGAAGTCGTTATATGAGTAGGCCGTAGCGCCGCTGTCCAGACAAAATTTCCCTCACAGCATACTGTATGGCTTAAGCCTGTCTTCATTAGCCCAATTCAGAGCTAGTAGGATTTTAAACCCCATTTCATTTAATTTCAGTGAAAAATTAGTATTCAGCTAAAATTTGGAAAAGGATCTAATCTTTTTTGATATTTTTACTTCAGAGAGACTGACAGATATTCCCAGAACAGCAAAAGTGATATACAGAGTGCTCCCACTGTAACCATGCCAGCTCACCAATCAGGTCTAAGAACTAAAAGTTATTCTGGTTTAACCAATCAAAATCAAGATAACATTTTACCTCCTAGTGGTTATAGTAACTATAGCAATAATTATCGTGATAATCAAAATGGTCGACCACCTCATCACCGTGGACAAAATAGTACCTACAGAGAGCAGGATAGAGAAAGTAGTGCTGCTAATGGAGATCATCGGAGGAATTTGACACAGCAAAATAGTTCTGGTGGTGTGAATAGGCGTGATATGGAACAAAAAAGTAGTGCAGGTAGTGTTAGTCGTAGGGATCCGTCACGTAGAAATAATTACGAACAATCGGGAATGAAACCTAGACCGTCTGAAATTGAGGCCAGTTTTAACCGAAGATCATACATATCGGACGATATACCAAACTTTGATAATTCCCAGCATTCAAATTATTCCAATCCTGCAGATAGAGACAATTCTAATCGCTATGGTAACCCACGTCAGGAACGACAAGACCGGTTTTCTTCCTATAGCAATAAAAGTTACGAAGCAGCTCAAAAGAGTTTTAATCAAGATACCGAAAGAACTAGAAATAGTGCGGAGCGATCCAGAAATAGTGCGGAGCGATCAAGAAATAGTGCAGAGCGGACCCGAAATAGTGCAGAGCGGTCCCGGAATAGTCCAGAGCGTAATTCTAGGAACAGTCCTGAAAGAAGTTATCGTGGATCTAGCGGTATTAATTATAATTCTACAGATTACCAGACCCAGCAGGAATATGCTGTACCGGATAGGTGACGTTTTATTAGAAAATATTAATTATATACATGTAACAGGGCATCACATATAGATGTATGCATGTAACAGGGCATCACATATAGATAAATACATGTGCCAGGGCATCACATAAATATATACATGTAACAGGGCATCACATATAGATGTATGCATGTGCCAGGGCATCACATATAGATATACATGTAACAGGGCATTACATTTTAAAGTGACTTTTTATATACACAAGAACTTTTTTTTTATACACAAGAACTTTTTTGTTTTGACATATTTTTTGTTAATTACGCCTTCAATTGTGAATAATCTTAATTAAATTAACATGTCTAAAATATCCTGTATAATGTATTGGATGTTATATTTTTAATAAACAACAAGGTCATCGCATATAATCTATACTTGTGACAGGGCACCAGGCCTGACAGTCATTGAAAGTTCTAACATGTTGAGGGAAATGTCTTTTGATAGTGTATTGTAATAGTGCATTGTGATAGTGTAATGTAGTGTAATTGTAATATTATAGGTCTCATTTTAGATAGTGTATTGTAATAGTGCATTGTGATATTGTATTGTAATGTAGTGTAATTGGTATGTTGTAGGTCTCATTTTAGAAGTTCAAGTCAAATACAACAAACACCTCAGTCTACTTCCTCAAATTATCCAAATAGTCAACAAAGACCACAGGTAAACACATTTAAATAGACATCTTTATTCATTAAATCTCTCTTGAAAACCGTTACAGTCTATTTTCTAGTAACGTAACTTTACAAATGGACTGATGAGAAATCACAGATGCTTAACAATAATTTTTTAATGAAATCAAATCATGCGATCAAATGAAACCGATCATATATAAGTTTGATTTAAAGATACATTATGTGAGATTAGATAAAGAGCTGGCAGTTCTCACTATAATAGTTAATGTAAAGCCAATTTGCTGAAAATTTCAGTCTAATTGAACCACTCTGAACTGAGAATTCAGCCATTGAATTTTAGGCCTAGCCTCGATCATTATATTACTAAAGTCGGTACGATGAAAAAAACACAGTCTCGATTATCCATTTCCTGATTAAATTATGAATGAAAGTTGAGCAGCAGATCGGAACCTAATCCAGTAAACATTGCAGGCTAGCGATGCCATCGAGAGTTGATTATGATCTGGATAAGTTAATTAATGCCTACTTAATAATTTAGAAAACATTTCAGGCCTAAACGAACCCTTAACAAAGAGTCGGCAAAAATCACTACAACTTGGGTATCATGTAGTTGTGCTGTTTTAACAGGAGGGGGGGTTGGATGGCTTAGTGGTTAGCACGTGCACGCTGTATCATTAAGTCTGTCATTGAGTCAACTGGCGTGGTTTCGAATCCCCGGTTGTACGTGACAAGGAGTAGGGTCGCCTGTCCAACCTCGTGGGTTTTCTCCGGGTCCTCCGGTTTCCTCCCACTGCTAAAGACCCCTATGCGCAAGCGAATTATGGAAATAAAATTGAACCATATGTTAGTCCCGAAATGACCTTGTTTGTGTCGAGTGGACGTTAAACCCCATTTCTCTCTCTCTCTCTTTAACAGGAGTTTCTGTATTTCATGTTTTGTTTCAACCATTGTTGGAAAACTATTGAGATTAATTACTCAACACTGCTCTAGAAACTAAACAGTTATAAACCCAACACTCATTTAATCTTGACAGACCATTTCAAACAACACAACAACAGAAACCCAATAGTTTTCGATGATTCTCAACAAATTTAAAGGCTCAATACCCCTCTTGTTGTAACTGAATAATATGTCCAAATCTTTATTCTAGTCAACAAATTGTACTATTTTACAATATTCCAATTAATTGATGATACAAATTTCATCTTAACACACCTAATTTAAAAAATTGGAAAAATTCAACTAAATGATTTGAAAAGCCTAACGTAAACCTTTTCAAATGTGACTTGGATTTAAAAATATTTTCGAACCCTCTGGACAAGTAAAATAGGATGTAATGGATAATTTGCACAACAGGTAGGACACATAAACATCTAGTACTTAGAATAAGGCTATTATTTATTTTCTGGAGCTGTCAAGCCAGCAAGAGTGTTATTGTCCCTTTAAACAGTTTTTCCAATGGTTTAAAACTAAACATTACATACAGAAACTGCTTCTAAAACAGCACAGTTATATGTGATACCTACGTTGTAGTGAATGCTGCTTTCTGGGTAACGTTCCTCCCATAGTAATTGTGTTAATCATCCCTGCTGATGCCAAAAAGTGAAACGTTAAACCACATTTTATTTTTGTTTTCAGTCTGCAGTGTATAATAACAGTTACTCTCGAAATACTTCAACAACGAATCCACCACCTGCATCATCTTATAATCCACAACCCCAACATCCTAATACATCACCTAGAAATCCCAGATATACCACAGCTAATAATAATAATATACCATCGAAACCTGGTGTCAATTATAATAATAACACTGATTATAGGTAACTATTAATAGCTTATACCAAATATACCACAGCTAATAATAAATAATATACCATCGAAACCAAGTGTCAATTATAATAATAACACTGATTATAGGTAACTATTAATAGCTTATACCAAATATACCACAGCTAATAATAAATAATATACCATCGAAACCTAGTGTCAATTATAATAAATGAAATGAAATGGGGTTTAACGTCCTACTGTTTTGCTCCGAACTGGGCTAATGAAGACGGGCATACACCATACAGTGTGCTATGAGGGAAATTTTGCCCAGACAGCGGCACTACGGCCTACTCTTATATCGAATTCCAACTGTCAAGGGATCTTTTACGTGCACGCCAATGTGTACACGGGACCTCGGGTTTTTCGTCTCATCCGAATGACTAGACAGCTGTCCTTGTCAGGCCCTCCGTCCTGCAACACTGACAAGGGGGAACCACGCCGGAAAATCTGGATGAACTTTCTCGGCCAATGCAGGGATCGAACACCCGACCTCCAGTCTAGCGAGCCAGCACCTTACCCACTTAGCCACCGTGATCCCCCAATTATATTCGAATCCCCGGTTGTACGTGGCAAGGAGTAGGGTCGCCTGTCCAACTTCGTGGGTTTTCTCCGGGGCCTCCGGTTTCCTCCCACTGCTAAAGACCCCTACGCGCAAGCGAATTATGTAAATAAAATTAAACCATATGTTAGTCCCGAAATGACCTAGTTTGTGTCAAGTGGACGTTAAACCCCATTTCTCTCTCTCTTTCCCCCAATTATAATAATAACTGTGATTATAGGTACATGTAACTATTAATAGCTTATACCAAATATACCACAGCTAATAATAATAATATACCACAGCTAATAATAATAATATACGGTCAGTGACGGTGGGGGAGTGGAGAGATCTAGGTCACCCTATACATTGGTGTGTGACTATCTGCTACATCCCTGAGATGGGGGGAGGGGGATCTAGGTTCCACTAAACATTGGTGTGTGACTGTCAGCTACATCACTGAAACGGAGGGGGGGTTCTGTCTTATACATAGGTGTGTGGCAATCTGCTTCTTCCCCGAGATGGGGGGTTGGATGGCTAAATGGTTAGCGTGCGCGCGCTGTATCATAAAGTCTGTCATTGAGTCAACTGGCGTGGTTTCGAATCCCTGGTTGTATGTGACAAGGAGTAGGGTCACCTGTCCAACCTCATGGGTTTTCTCCGGGTCCTCCGGTTTCCTCCCACTGCTAAAGACCCCTACACGCCAGCGAATTCGTGAAATAAAATTAAACCACATGTTAGTCCCGAAATGACCTAGGACGTTAAACCCCATTTCTCTCTCTCTCTCACCGAGATGGTGGTGTTTTGTGGGGGGGGGGGGGGGCGAATCTAGGTCACCCTAAATACTGGCTATACATCCTATCTGCTACATACCTGAGAAATATTACATAATGCACCTTTAATATTTGATGACGTATATTTCATTCAGATTGTATGACGACTATAATAAAAGACGAATATATCGCAGCGTGTCTGCTCCCAGACGGTATAAATAACAAATCTATATTTGGTCATGTATGAACACATCTATATTTGGTCATGCATCAACAAGTCTATATTTGGCCATGTATCAACACATATTACATTGTTTATGGTTCTAATGGTTCTCTTCTGAATAAGGTTTCTAAAGGTCAAGGGTTTTTGGGGTTTTTTATAAACAATATTTATTCAGAAACTGAGGGGATTGGGGAACAGGCAAAGCCTATATAAACCCCTCTCCCGGAGTCAAGGTTTGATAGGAGTCTTCATATTCTCAACTGTTTATAATACCAAGAGATATTGATCGTTTACACCATGCAGCGTTTCATTTAACAATTCTTCATTTTACACTGCAGAATCGAGCCATCATTTTAGCCAATCAAATACCTCACTTTCTGTTCAGATGTGCTTCACTTTCAAACATTTTTAGCTCTGGTTGGTTAATCCCATTTTGTAAAGCTCTGTTTGATTGGCCACAGAAATAACTCTTGACCAAGCATAATTTTACACACAATTTGACTCAAAAGATTTTGTTTGAAATTAGATATGGTGAATATGAAGTATTAATGATATGGTCAGTATGAAGTATTAACGATTGTATGAGAATGTGAAGATGGTGGTGTATCATGTGATTTCACTTATTTGTGATATAAATTACACCCCTATACTCTAGTCAATTATTGGTGATATAAATTACACCCCTATGATTACAATCCTTTATAATTACAGTCATATATAATTACAATCATATATAATTATAATCATGTATAATTACAATCCTCATTGTAAGAGGCATGTACAATAAAGTCATACTGTATTTATAATTACAATCATGTATAATTACAAACGTATATAATTACACTCCATGTATAATTACAATCATGTTTAATTACAATCCTGAATGTAAAAGGCATATATACCATCATGTATAATTACAATCATGTATAATTACAATCCTCAATGTAAGAGGCATATACAATCATATATAATTACAATCATGTATAATTACAATCCTCAATGTAAGAGGCATATACAATATTGTCATACTGTATTTATGATTACAATCATGTATAATCCTCTGTGTAAAGAAGCATGTAATATGACCATGTAAGATGCAAGTACAATATGGTGATACTGTATTTCTGTGGTTATTAGTGCATGGGGTTTTTGTCTAATTGTAGTTAGTTTATATTAAATTTACTCTTAACCCTCAGCCCTTACTAAACAACCAGGACCCTTATTTATTTTATATAGGGGATTTACTATATGTTGTAGTCAGTGCAGCACTATGCTTAAGGCCCTGTTTAATTTAACATAAAATTAGGCCTAGTACTGACCCTATTCCCATACTCTACTATATTTGCTCCTAGTTTAAATAGTTCTAAATTCTGACTGTAAACATAGCAACCGCTGTAATTATTTGAAAAAATACAGTAGGGTATTCATTGTATTCTGAAAGCAGCAAATTTATTTAAAAGCCCTCAAATCAACCAATTGTAAGTATTGACATGAATGAATACCCTGGTTTCAATATCTTGATCTGTTAATAATCAGTGAATATAACAACCACCGACGCCTTAAAAACTGTTCTTCAGTATTAGCACACCTTATAAATGGTGATATTATTATTAATACTTTGATGAATGAAACGCACATCAGAAAAAAAAAAAATGTGTTGGTCATCGTATATTCCCCCCATCAAGTTCACAGTAAAAGGAATTTTATTTATGTTTCAGAAATCCTAATGTCAGTAACCAAGGACAAGATTTATCATATAGATCTAACGGTATTGGTAACCAGTCCGTATCTACGGATTATCATGGACAAAATGGCCGACAGACTTACAGACCACAGGTATCATTAATCACTACTTCTTGTTAGTCAAACAGGGGTATATCTGATCCTCATTCTACCTGTATATCCCAATCAACCCAAGTGTAACTAGTTGTGTGTCTATATCCCATTCAACCCAGGTGTAACTGTAGCTGTGTATCTATATCCCAGTCCACCCAGCTGTAACTCTAGCTGTGTGTCTCTATCCCAGTCTACCCAGCTGTAACTCTAGCTGTGTCTGTATATCCCAGTCTACCCAGCTGTAACTCAAGCTGTGTGTCTATATCCCAGTCTACGTAACTCTAGCTGTGTGTCTCTATCCCAGTCTACGTAACTCTAGCTGTGTGTCTCTATCCCAGTCTACCCAGCTGTAACTCTAGCTGTGTCTGTATATCCCTGTCTACCCAGCTGTAACTAGCTGTGTGTCTATATGCCAGCTGTAATATAGGATACCAGTAGTGAGAAAGATTTGTAACTAAATGTTTGATTGTGTATTAAATCCTTGAATTTCTGGGTCATTCAGTTTCCTCCCACTGCTAAAGACCCTACTTGCAAGCAAATTATTGAAATAAAATTAAACCATATATGTTAGTCCCAAAATGACGTAGTTTGTGTCAAGTGGACGGTAAAGCCCATTTCTCTCTCTCTCTATTATAAAGGTTGCTTGAAAATTGAAATTGAAATTAATAGATTTTTTGTTTGGCGTGGTTTCAGTTGTATGTGAAAACGAGTATGGTCGCCTGTCCAGCCTCGTGCATTTTCTCCAGGTCCTCCGGTTTTCTCCCACTGCTAAAGACCCATACTCGCAAACGTATTATTGAAATAAAATTGAACCATATATGTTTGTCCCAAAATGACCTGGTTTGTGCTGAGTGGACATTAAACCCCATAACTATCTGTCTCCCTCCTTCTCTCTCTCTCTCTCTCTCTCTCTCTCTCTCTTAAGGGTTGCTTGAAAATTAAAATTGAAATTAATACATTTTTTGTTTGGTGTCTATTTCAGATAAATCACGCTGGAACACCGCCCAGAAATACGAGCACACCACCACGTTCGATGGCATATCTACCGCCATCACATCCTAGCAACCTTCCGTCTCCGTCAACCAGTGAACCATCAGCCGTAAATCGAAGTTTAAGTAGCAGTATGAATTCAGAAGTAATGGCTCACATGATGCGTACGAATCGTTATAATTCAGATCTTTGCACAGAATTATGATCCACTGATGATTGTAGGAAAAGCAATTCATATTATAAATGAAATGAAATGGGGTTTAACGTCCTAACTGGGCAAATGAGGGAAATTTTCCCCTGACAGCGGCACTGTGGCCGACTCTTATATCGAATTCCAACTGTCAAGGGATCTTTTATGTGCACGACAATGTGTACACAGGACCTCGGTTTCTGCCCCATCCGAATGACTAGACAGCTGTCCTTGTCAGGCCCTCTGTTTTGCATCACTGACAAGGGGGAACCACGCTGGAAAATCTTGATGAACTTTCTTGGTCAATGCAGGGACCGAACACCCGGATGGGACATTAGCTACACCTAAAAACACTTTCAATTGGAATTTGGTAAAGAGTAGGTGGGAACGCCGCTGTCCAGGCAAAGTAGGAGTTAAACCCCATCTCATTTCATCATTTGAAAAAAGAACAGTATATATGTGTAAAGAATGTATTTAAAAATTTAATTTTCATAAAAAATTACAGGAAGTTTAACTACACTGTGTAACTAGTTGGAGCAGAACATTAGGACATTAAACTCCATTTCATTTCATTTCACACTGTGTAACTTGGTTTAAAATCACAAGGTGGGTTAATCTTTGGATTATTGCTGGCAGAGGTGGGAAAAAAAGTCCCAGGACTCAGATTCGCGTCCGATTTCAAATATTCATCTCAACTTGCGACTTGAAAAGTGAGGGGTTATAACATAACTTGCTTTATACGACATGAATTGCTGACTCATTTGATGAACAGGACTTGGGTTTTGTGAAGATTCGTACTTTGGACTTTGTAAAGACTCCGTACTTGGGACTTGGACCCTCAACTTGTTCCAATCTCTGACTCATTTGATGAACTGGCGACTTGAACAGGACTTGGGTTTTGTGAAGATTCGGTACTTGGGACTTTGTAAAGACTCCGTACTTGGGACTTCGTAAAGACTTGGGACTTGGACCCCCAACTTGTTCCAACCTCTGATGGCTGGTAGTTCTGTCTCCGCTGTATTGTTTGTTGTCTGGTTGTTGTTGTGTAGTTATCCTGTATTTGTCTAATGGTCGCGATGAAATCAAGGTGTATATTTTATTACCATGTGTATTTATATATTTTATTTATATATTTTCTCTGTCAATATTTAAACATTTTACAAGATATTTTAAGCAAAGCTCATTTTACATATTGAAGATTTACAAGCCTGGGCCCTTATTCACGAAAACTTAAACTAAGATACAATCGAAATTTTAAGAAATACTGCAATTCGATTGGCTGACCAGTAAAATCAATTTGTATATATCCAATGAAGTTGCAGTATTTCTTAAAATTTCAGTTTTAACTTAGTTTAAGTTTTCGTGAATAAGGGCCCTGGAAATAAGGCACCTGTAACAGACAATGTCAGGCACAGGTTCAGGCTTTGTCAGACTCAAAACCTCTTGTGCCTGTCATTTTGTCCGAAACTGATTTGTCGTTTTTTTATTGATATTATTAATACATGTCCGGCACTAAGTTGAAAAATGTTGGACACTATTTCATTAGAGCCTGATATTTTGTCGGGTATATCTAAAACCGTTATTTCCAGGCCTGTTGAAGATGATGATGGCATGAAACATGTGATTCAGGCTTACACTTAATTATCAATGGCATAACTAGAGCTTTCACTTGTAAATTTAGCTATCGGTTTTAAGTCAATTTTTGACGCATGTTTACCTGTGGATTATGGCCCCTGATTTACATATATTGTTTACCTCTGATTGGCAAGACAATTTTCAGCATTCTACCAGTTTCTTAAAATATTTTAAGTCTCTTTCAATTGTCAGTATATTTCATATATTTTTGCAGTACCTGTCTTATTTCATATATTTTCACTATATTGCAGATCTTGGTTTAGACCTGAAATGTTATCTAAATTATTAATTAGACATTAATTAACTGATCAAGGCTATAATCAACTCTCAATAGCATCGGATTTCTCCGATAGATTAGAACAGTTCAGCCTTATTTTAATTTAATTTAAAAATGGAGGAGCGAGATTTACCTTCGAACAACCAGTACGGTGGTTGCAATTATTGCACACGTCTTGTCAAACCTTCAAAGGCTAATATCTTAGCTCACGATATAGTAATTGGAATGAAATTTTCAAATTATTCATTTTACATTATTTATTTTCTCACTATTACAGCAAGAATGGCTAGCTCTTTATCTAAATCTTACATAATGTATCTTTAAGTTGCATTATCAATGGCATTTCCTGTAGTAACTCGTCAAAATAAAGATGCACTATGTAAGTGCTAAATTTTCCTATTTTAGGTGTTTTCTCTGGTTTAAAATCTGATATAAATTATGTTTTAGACATTCATACGCATGACAAGCCTATAATCAACTGTCTAGTACATCAGAAAGCGGATATTTAAATTGATTTGAACACCAGCAATATTTAACAATGAAATGGATAATTATGACTTAGTCTTGGTTGTCGGGTACCGTTGCTACGATAATAAACGATCTACGCTACATCTTTAAACAGTCATAACTTCACTCAGAATAAAGTAATTTGAATGAAATTTAGATATATTCATTTCTCATTGTCTTTTTTGGAACTTTTATAGCACAAACGACCAGTCCTTTATCCAAATCTTACATAATGCATCTTTAAACTATTATAGCAAGAACAACCAGCCCTTTATCTAAATCTTTAAAACTTGGCTCAGAATAAAGTAATTTGAATCAGATTTTCAATATATTCTTTTTGCATTATCTATTTTGAAACTTTTATGGTAAGAACAACCAGCCCTTTATCTAAATCTTACATAATGTATCTTTAAACTATTACAACAAGAACAACCAGCTCTTTATCGAAATTCAAGAACAACCAGCTCTTTATCTAAATCTTTAAAAATACAGTGACATCTTGGCTAAGAATAAAGTAATTTGAATCAAATTTTCAATATATTCATTTTGCATTATCTATTTTGAAACTATTATATCAAGAACAACCAGCGCTTATCCATAAAGTGTGTTTATTTTTAGTGAAATCTATTTCTATATGTCTTATAAGAATTATCCTTATCTAAATCTGTATGTCTTATAAGAATTATCTTTATCTAAATCTATTTCTATATGTCTTATAAAAATTATCTTTATCTAAATCTATTTCTGTATGTCTTATAAGAATTATCCTTATCTAAATCTGTATGTCTTATAAGAATTATCTTTATCTAAATCTATTTCTATATGTCTTATAAAAATTATCTTTATCTAAATCTATTTCTATATGTCTTATAAGAATTATCCTTATCTAAATCTATTTTTATATGTCTTATAAGAATTATCCTTATCTAAATCTATTTCTGTATGTCTTATAAGGATTATCTTTATCTTAATCTATTTCTGTATGTCTTATAAGAATTATCTTTATCTAAATCTATTTCTGTATGTCTTATAAGAATTATCCTTATCTAAATCTATTTCTATATGTCTTATAAGAATTATCCTTATCTAAATCTATTTCTATATGTCTTATAAGAATTATCCTTATCTAAATCTATTTCTGTATGTCTTATAAGAATTATCCTTATCTAAATCTATTTCTATATGTCTTATAAGAATTATCTTTATCTAAATCTATTTCTGTATGTCTTATAAGGATTATCTTTATCTAAATCTATTTCTGTATGTCTTATAAGGATTATCTTTATCTAAATCTATTTCTGTATGTCTTATAAGGATTATCCTTATCTAAATCTATTTCTGTATGTCTTATAAGAATTATCTTTATCTAAATCTATTTCTATATGTCTTATAAGAATTATCTTTATCTAAATCTATTTCTGTATGTCTTATAAGGATTATCTTTATCTAAATCTATTTCTGTAAGTCTTATAAGAATTATCTTTATCTAAATCTATTTCTATATGTCTTATAAGAATTATCCTTATCTAAATCTATTTCTATATGTCTTATAAGAATTATCTTTATCTAAATCTATTTCTGTATGTCTTATAAGGATTATCTTTATCTAAATCTATTTCTGGATGTCTTATAAGAATTATCTTTATCTAAATCTATTTCTGTATGTCTTATAAGGATTATCTTTATCTAAATCTATTTCTATATGTCTTATAAGAATTATCTTTATCTAAATCTATTTCTATATGTCTTATAAGAATTATCTTTATCTAAATCTATTTCTGTATGTCTTATAAAAATTATCTTTATCTAAATCTATTTCTGGATGTCTTATAAGAATTATCTTTATCTAAATCTATTTCTATATGTCTTATAAGAATTATCTTTATCTAAATCTATTTCTATATGTCTTATAAGGATTATCTTTATCTAAATCTATTTCTATGTGTCTTATAAGAATTATCCTTATCTAAATCTATTTCTGTATGTCTTATAAGAATTATCTTTATCTAAATCTATTTCTGTATGTCTTATAAGAATTATCTTTATCTAAATCTATTTCTATATGTCTTATAAGAATTATCTTTATCTAAATCTATTTCTATATGTCTTATAAGAATTATCTTTATCTAAATCTATTTCTATATGTCTTATAAGAATTATCTTTATCTAAATCTATTTCTGTATGTCTTATAAGAATTATCTTTATCTAAATCTATTTCTATATGTCTTATAAGGATTATCTTTATCTAAATCTATTTCTATGTGTCTTATAAGAATTATCCTTATCTAAATCTATTTCTGTATGTCTTATAAGAATTATCCTTATCTAAATCTATTTCTGTATGTCTTATAAGAATTATCTTTATCTAAATCTATTTCTATATGTCTTATAAGAATTATCTTTATCTAAATCTATTTCTATATGTCTTATAAGAATTATCTTTATCTAAATCTATTTCTATATGTCTTATAAGAATTATCTTTATCTAAATCTATTTCTGTATGTCTTATAAGGATTATCTTTATCTAAATCTATTTCTGTATGTCTTATAAGAATTATCCTTATCTAAATCTATTTCTATATGTCTTATAAGAATTATCTTTATCTAAATCTATTTCTGTATGTCTTATAAAAATTATCCTTATCTAAATCTATTTCTATATGTCTTATAAGGATTATCTTTATCTAAATCTATTTCTGTATGTCTTATAAGGATTATCTTTATCTAAATCTATTTCTGTATGTCTTATAAGGATTATCTTTATCTAAATCTATTTCTGTATGTCTTATAAGGATTATCTTTATCTAAATCTATTTCTGTATGTCTTATAAGGATTATCTTTATCTAAATCTATTTCTGTATGTCTTATAAGGATTATCTTTATCTAAATCTATTTCTGTATGTCTTATAAGGATTATCCTTATCTAAATCTTTACATAATTCATCTTGGAAGAAATAAAGTGTTTTTGTTAAAGCGATAATTTCATATTTTCTAAGAAAGTCAAAACATAATTATTTCTATGTCTTTTGCTCAATAGGTTGTCAACTCACTATTATACAATTATAGGTATTATTCTCCCTCTTAAAAATCCTTTGACCCCGGAAATAATAACACAATTACCTCCCTTGTTTTTCTATTCCCCCCCCCATGGAGTCTTCAAAGTTGAAAATGATATTTTTGCCAATTTCTCAACTGGCAATAGTGAATTATAGGATTAATAGGATTATTCTTTAACATGGTAGGACTGTTCATAGATACCATCTATTTTAAGGCTTTATTTTAATAAATTTTAAAAATATAACTTAAAAATATGAAATTACAGCTTTAAAGTTGTGATTATGTACGCTTCTATGTTTTTATAACTTATGATATTTAATATCAATGTTGATATACCATATTTAATCCTGTCTGTATATATAATATACTTTTATACGGTTGTATATTTTTATATATTTTAATCTAATGTCACTCGGACAATTGCAATGTCTCTGATTATGATATAAATCCGCAAATTAATAAAACAAACACTAAAATAAAACTACAAAACATCTTTGTTAATTTTTTTTTATGTATGCTCACATTAGAATGTGAAACTTCCAATCAATAGAAACAGGAAACACAAACCAAATACAGACGGTTTGATGGGATCAATTTTGACTAAGTCAAAATGATGCATTTGATATTAAGATAAGTTGATATAAAATAATTAATAGAATACAATATCAAAAAACCAGCGTTTTATCCAGCGTTTGTCAGTAAAAATACTAACTTCTTCTGGGATGAAAAAGTTAGTATTTTTACTGAAGAAACATTGGATAAAACAATGGTTTTTTGATATTGTATTCTATTAATTATTTTATATCACATTAGAATGTGGTCAGATATTGTCGTCACCCCACCCATTGGTTTAGCATCCCTCATAGCACACTGTATGGCATATGCCTGTCTTCATTAGCCCAGTCGGAGCAGAACAGTAAAATGTTAAATCCCCTTTCAATTCATTTTATTTCATATTTAATTAATACAGAATGTCAGTGGTGGACTACTCTAGTTTAGACATGCCCAGTTGATGTCATCATACTGTATGTATGTTTGTGAATATTTCATTTATTCAAACAAAGATAGATTGCTAGGTAGCGGATCATATACCCAGAGTAGCTAAATCCTTCGAGGTGACATCCTAATTGCAGCATGTAGAGAGAGAGAAAAATGGGGTTTAATGTTCACTCGACATAAACTAGGTCATTTTGGGACTAAAATATGGTTCAGTTTTATTTCAATAATTCGCTTGCGCGTACTCCTCGTCACGTACAACCGGGGAATCGAAACCAGGCCAGTTGACTCAATTACAGATCTTATGATACAGCGCGCACATGCTAACCATTCGGCCATCCCCCCCCCCCCGCAGCATGTAGAGCCAGACCGACTTTACATTAAAAATAGAGAGCTGTACATGTTGTGGCCTAGTAAGACGTTGGCTCACTAACATGGCACTCTGGAGTTCGATATCGGTGTTCGCAGAGAAAATTCATCAGGATACAGGACAGAATGCCTGGCAAGGATGGGATGAAAAACCTGAGCTACTGTATTGGCATGCACTTAAAAGAACACTTGGCAGTGGGAATTCGATATAAGAGTGAGTAGGTCAGTGCTGCTGTCCTCGCAAAATTTCCCTCATAGCACACTTCGTGGGGTTTGCCCAGTCAGATCACAACAGTTGGAGAGAGAGAGAAATGGGGTTTAACATCCACTCGACACAAACTAGGTCATTTCGGGACTAACATGGTTTAATTTTATTTCAATAATTTGCTTGCGCGTAGGGGTCTTTAGCAGTGGGAGGAAACCGGAGGACCCGGAAAAAAACCAACGAGGTTGGACAGGCGACCCTACTCCTTGTCATGTACAACCGGGGATTCGAAACCACGCCAGACGACGCAATGACAGACTTTATTATACAGCGCGCGCACGCTAACCATTCAGCCATCCAACCCCCCCACAACAGTTGGACATTAAATATCATTTCATTTGATTTAGATTAAAAAATAAGATCATTCTAACTGTAAATATTGTTTAATCAACTCTAATGAATACATGCGTATATGTACATATATTTATATATTATAGCTTCATCGGGATCCCTACGTGAAGGCAAATTATTCAAATAAAATTAAACCATGTTAGTCCCGCAATGATTGGTTTGTGCCCTACAGAAGTTAAATTCCATTTCTATCTCCTCAGCCCTGTCGGCGTATGCCCGTCTTCATTAGCCCAGTTGGAGCAGAACAGTAGGATGTTAAACCCCATTTCATTTCATTATATATCATAGCTTATCATTTGATGGATACCAAAAGGAAGAAGTGATTGATTTTAGGTAACTGGACCTATTTTCCATTATTGGATTATTCTTGAAATTCTTCAAAAAAGCCAAATGTTGCACCAATTGAATTAAGATTGATATAAAACTTGGCATGATTTTTGATATGAGGTATTTGACGTCATTTCTCTTGTAGATAAAGTATGTTATAATTTATAACATACTTTATCTAATCTACAAGAGAAATGACGTTTAACGTCCACTCGTCACAAACTAGGTCATTTAGGGACTAACATATGGTTCAATCATTAGCTTGCTCTAAGTGGTCTTTAGCGGTGGGAGGAAACCTGGCAACCCAGAGAAAACGTATACAAGGCCCCACTCCTTGTCATGTACAAGCGTGGAATCAAAACCTCACTACGTTACTAAATGACAGACCTTATGATCTAAAGTGCATACTTTAAAACATTCAGCCACTCAACTGACCCTTCTATACACGTATATATATAGGAATATGAGGTTTTTAGAAAGAAAAAACTAATTTCATCTTAGCTAGTGATTTCACCCACTACAGAGATCATCAGGCATTTAATATTCTTTCTAAAAACCTCATATTTCTATATAATTTTACCTGAGAGTAGAATCTTTTATTTATATATATATAGACATGCACACACACACACACACAAACAACTTTGTTTCATGGTAAATAATGAAAAGTTATATCTATAAATTCTAATTGATGATCTGCTCTTAGCTTGTATATATGAAAATTAGAAATGAAATGAAATGGGGTTTAACGTCCTACTGTTCTGCTCCTAACCTGGGCTAATGAAGACGGGCATACGCCATACAGTGTTCTATGAGGGAAATTTTGCCCGGGCAGCGGTGCTACGGCCTACTCTTATATCGAATTCCAACTGCCAAGGGATCTTTTACGTGCACGCCAATGTGTACACAGGACCTCGCTTTTTCCCATTCGTCCCATCCGAACGACTAGACAGCTGTCAATTAAAATGTTTAGGAAAGAAACACAGTATTATGTGGCTATTTGTATATGGAGAATATGTATTACCAGTAAAGGCCTGAAGATGCAGCTATGGCGGGTGTGTCGCCAGGCAGGGTAAGCTTACTCTTCCGGACACCTGTTACCACTGTTTGTCGTGTATTTTGTACACGGTGAACAGTCCATATGCTGATTACACTATTTTGCCTTATTACACTATTTTGCCTATACCGTTTTTTTAGGACTTCAAATTTTGTCTAATGGTTTGGATTGTTCGTACTTGGTTTTATTTTATTTCAATAAACATGGACATACATGTACATGTGGCATTAACTTATTATTACTCAACTTAAAGTAGCTATTGATAAGCGGTTTCAGACAAGTTATCTGCCCCTGAAACTGATTTTACCCCCTTATAATATTAATTTTCCATTTTACAACCGTCTTCGGTCAGAACAAAACAGTAGAACGTTAAACCCCATTCCATTTATTTTTGTTTTACAAGCCACCTTCATAGAAGACCTCCAGATAGTTCAAGTAGCCCAAGTCTCCAACTCAATATCATCCAAAGTCTCTAACTCAATATCATCCAAAGTCTTCGACAGTGAAAACACGAATTATTTATCAATTTAAATCAACATTGATGTTGTGATCTTACCTGGAAAAGATGGGCTGCTGACATCCAAAATTTAAGACAAAATAAACATTTTATCATTGGTACACAAATCGTGTACCATAATGTGTTTCAGCGCCATTTGCATCAAGGGACCTGAACAATTAGGCTAGACATATTCCACAAGTCATGTCAAATGGTGACGCCATATTCTTATCTGGAGAGCATGTACAATACCGTGTAGACTGGAATAACCAGACGCTAGAGACTGCAATTTGATTGAGACTTCTGGTGTTTTTCGCCGAACATAACTGATTTGAAATTACAGTAAAAACAGAAACGATTGAATGTACATGTAAATCAGTTTATATACATTCTTATTACATTATTATATGTGTTGCGACCTATTTGTGTAAATTTCTACGTTCAAAATATTAGCAAGACAGAGAGAGATGGGGTTTAACGTCCACTCGACACAACCTAGTTCACTTCGGGTCTAACATATGGCCCAATTTTATTTCAATAATTCGCTTGCGCATAGGGGCCTCTAGCAGTGGAAAGAAACCGGAGGACCCGGAGAAAACCCACGAGGTTGGACAGGCGACCCTACTCCTTGTCATGTACAACCGGGGAATCGAAACCACCCCAACTGACTCAATGGCAGACCTTATGAATCAACATGCATCCGCTAAGCATTTGGCCATTCAACCCCCTCCCCCACAGCGATTTAGCTCCTATAAAAGTATTTATATATAAAGTATATATACAAACACAAAATAATTGTCGATAACATAAACAAACTATACACAAAATCATTTATAGATTATTACTTATTATTAGATTATGCCTCTAAAAGATCATTATTCAATTCCTTAATTCTACATGAACAGAAATACACAATATATGTACAAATTTAACTAAAACATAACCAAATGTGTAGATTGCATCTTATATAATTTTATACAGACAGAACGAAACATACGTCCACAGCAGCTAAATCAGCTGAGCTGTCAACAAGGCTTGTCACATTTATTCTTTTGTAGGTAATAGACATTGATATCAACTACATACAGATCAGATGATAACTTTTGTCATTCAAGTGTTCACAAGGTTCTACAAAGTTAAACAAGGGCTAGAACTTTAGAAGTAATTTACAGAAATTGTTGGAATTTGATAGTCTTCTCCAGTTTACTAATTAAAATAATGTACATAAATTTTCAAGCACATTAGATGACAATACCCAAAAATATTCTCGCTCTCAGTCAATCCTAAAAATGTGATGCAGAAAGGAGGTTATTTCGTCTTGTGTTTTTATTCAATAAGCAGATTTCGCCCTTACATTATTACATCTTTAAGGGGATGGTTCTTCCTTGTCAGTTTTACAACCGTCTGATTCGGACGGTGTCAGGCGACGGGATCGTATAAACGCCATTCCATGAACTCTCATATGATTCTTCAACAGATTTACACTTTCAAATTCACGATAACACACTCGACATTCTAATTCCCCGATTGGCCCATTCTTCTTTCGTATTGGTTCGCTAGGAGCTATGTCTGTAAATGGGGTTTTCCGTGGACTTATCGTCACTTCCAACAAATCGTCCTCCTCGTCATCGACATCCATTTCTTCTGGTTCTTCAATTCCCTTTTCAGAAATGTATTCATCCGCATTACGAATCTTATGCACCATAAATAGATGTTTTTTAAGCGACGGCAAAACACTGAAACATAGTCCACATTCTGGACATTGAGTTGTGTCCGTGGTTTTATGGGTCTCGATATGAGCGCTGAACTCGGACGAATCTTCCGTGTTGAAGTTACATTTTACACATGTATACACACCACTTCCTTCAACGCGCAGACGCTTAACGGGAACAGACTCTAATTCATCAAGGGTTTTGCGTTTCAATTTGTCTGATTTTGAGGATTCCTTTCCCACTGCAATAAACCTTTTTAAACGAGCTTTTGCAATTCGATGTTTGAAGATTAGATGTTTCTCTAAAACACCGGCCTTAACAAAAGTTCTTGTAATTCCCTTTTTCTTGCACGGAAGACAGAAAAACCCTGGTTTTGATCCCTCATGTGTCGCCTGTACATGTTCGTCAAGGTTTAGTTGCGTTTTGTACGTTAATCCACATAAATGACACGGAAATGAGCTGTGCTCTGATTGGCTGTGTTTCTCTTTTTCATCTTTATTCTTGAACTCCTTATGACAGAATAAGCACTCATGTTTTTCAGGCGCCTTTGGCACAAGTTTGATAACCAAATTTGGCACTTTAGCTGGTGGCTTCGGTTGTAGTTGGACCAGTTTTTTTGGCTGCACTTTTGAAACTGGTTTTGGTGGTGATTTGTTCATCGGTTTTGGCGGAGATTTAAGACTTATCCTGGGTGGCGAGTTTACTGCAGGTTTTGGAGCGATTTCACAGAGTTTTTGCGGTTCCCCATAGTTTTCACTGTGTTTTGCAATGGTGAAGACTTTGGGATGGCAGGTATGAATTGACAGAATATCAGGATTTTCAAACATGCATTTACACTGCTGACAGAAATAAAATTCTGCATTAATCATTTCATGCGCTTGAAGTTGGTGTTCAAGAAATTTGGAGTACGAACCTGTAACAGTACTGCATGCGCTGCAGATCAACGAGCGTACATTTGGTGGCATCTTAAAGTACTCTCTGTGCTTTGACCTGTAGTGATCTTCGAGATCCTTTTTAGATGTGTACATGCTTAAGTTTAAACCACAGGAGCTGACGGGGCAATTCGTACAAACGTAAACAAAAGTTGCGTTCCTCTTCACCTCCTTAACGTGAATGTTCATGTGTTCTTTCATTTTCACTGGATTACGTAAAACCGTATTGCAGATTCCGCAAGCAACTATCGTTGTTGTTACTGTCTTTTCTTCACCCGACGGAGATTTTGTTACTGCGCATTCGTTCATCTTCGTGGCATGATGTGTGTGAAGATGTTTTATAAATGAATTAAGTCGAATATCTGTATGTCCGCATGGTTTCCACAGGTTACGAAAGCAACGCAAAAGTCCAGCTCGGGTAAAATGAAAACATTTAGTGTGGAGATGTTTTCTAAATTCGTTGATTTCCCCTACTACCAGTCCACACTCTGGACAGGTATATGGCATTTGGTTTGAATGATATCGTTTATGTGCTTCGAGCGCACACTGACGGGGAAATATCATGTTGCACATGTTACACACGTGTGCAAACGAACAAATCACTTCACCACTACCAAAATGTTCAGCCAATGACAAGTTAGTATCGCAAACTTTACCACATTCAGTGCAAGAACCCAGATTTTGCGGAGGACGAGGTCTTGGTTTGTCGGAGATCTCAATCGTGGGAATCGGCTTCTCCAGCGTCTCTAGCATCATCTTATACGGAGCTAAGCGTATGGACAAAATATCAGCCTTTACCTGTATCGCCGGATTTTTACTCTGAGCGCGCTCAGTGTTATGAATTCTGATATGATTTAAAAAGGAGCATTTATTGTAGAAAATGACCACATTCATACAAAGTGGACATTTGTAACTGATCTCGACACTGACTCGGTTTCTATGGAAACTAAGCATTTCACGCGATGTGAAACTGTCACCGCATTCCAGACACGATGACACAGTAAAGTCCTTCAAATAATCTTTGTATCTCATCAAGATAGGTGGTGCTTTATGATTGCCGATTTTATGCTTTCTCTGCAATATATCTGTGACACTGGCAATGTCAAATGAATCGAAATTCTTTTTAACTTTAGGACCTAGTTGTTTATTGGCCGTTGCCTGGGTGATTCGTACAATCTTGGTTCCACCGTAACGGGGTGTGGGTTTCCTACCAACATTTCCATTCTCCTGTCTTTTTGGTTGAATATTTAATTCTTGATACGGAGGTCTGGGATTCGGAACGCGAATAATTCTTGGTCCCGCTATCTGTGCAGTATTTGTGACCTTTTTTACCTTTAATCTTGATACTAAATTTGAATTTTCTGACAGAGAAAAACGGGGCGTTACTGTAGATGATGATGATAATGACGAAGATGATGATGAGTAAGGCATCAATGATGATGACTGTATCGCCAATGGAATCGGTGTAGGTTTGCCGTTTCCTGCCACATTTATCTTTGAAACATTGAAACTCGAAGCAGAAGGGTAGCCTTCATCTACTGGTTCTGTTTTGATCTTGGTTATCATGCCAGTCAATTTTGTTGCGTTTGTTTCTGGAGCGTTTACCCTCTCCGATACAGTGCTAGATACTTTGGGGACTTGTTTGTCAAGAATTGACGCTAGTATTGGCGCCGGTTCGGAGATTTTAACCGCCACCGACTGGATTTCACTCTCAGAAATACTTCCATCTTCGTAACTTTCATTCTTCGAACTAAAACTTAAGTCATTTTCTGTCTCAATTTTCTCAAATTCTTCTGGTGTAATCTGAACCCCAGCGATGATATTCAACGTGGGAGAGAACTCTGGGATAGACTGTGTTTCCATTTCTGTTTCTGGACGTGAATCAGGGCGATTAGGAGTGTTTGTACTAAGGCCTGATCCGGCTAAGGTGTCTTCAGATTTTAAATTTAATGACACTTGGTTTTCGTCTCCATCAACAGCCATTGAAATTTTTTCAGGTTTTAATTCATCACTAAATGTTTTTCCATCATTCAAATATGACATTTTCTGATCCTCCATCTCCAAATCTTTTGAAATCTGTGCTAGATCGTTGCCACTTGTTCCCTTCAGTTCGTCATCTTTACTTGTTCGTGGTGGACTTTGCACGTCTATTATTGGTTTGAAATTAGGATAAACGGACTGCTCAGTTGACACACTCTCATCTGTATCTATAGTAGAATCTCTGGACATTCCATCCTTCATCAAATTATTGCGAACACTTTCATCTTTTTCATCCATCATGCGGTTCTTCAATTCCTCTTTTTGAGACCGCTGGTTATCTTCTGTTTCTGTTTCGTTACAGACTGGTGGTATTAGAGTATCTTTCATCAATTCAGATTTAGAATACATCATCAGTTTTGTTGTTTTGTTTCCATGGAGATCTACATCTGTCTCGGCGCCCGATGTACAACTTTCCGAACCCTGTGTTTTATAATCGAGTACAAGTTTATCGCAATCTGAATCGCTATCTGTCGAACCAAAACAACGATTGAAGGCGTCTATTTGGTCTGAAATTGTTGGTTTTGGGGTAATTCTTCTGATGGGAGTTTTCTCAGACTGATTTGACGCAAAATTAGGTTGGTCCATAATCTCATCTTGTGAATGTTTTTCGCCTTTGTTTATTTCCTCCAATACTTCGTCACCTTTATCTTCACTTCCTGTCTCTACTTTCAGTTTATCATTGTCTAGATCTTCACTTCCTGTGTCTACTTTTAGTTTATCATTGTCCTTGTCTATATTTTCACTTGCTGTGTCTACTTTCATCTTATCATTGCCTTTGTCTATATCTTCACTGTCCACTTCCAGTTTATCACTGTTTAACCCTTCACTTCCTGTGTCTACTTTCAGTTTATCGCTGTCTGTATCTTCAATTCCTGTCTCTACCTCCAATTTATCATTGTCATTATCTTTACTTCCTGTCTCTACTTCCAATTTATCATTGTCATTATCTTTACTTCCTGTCTCTACTTTTAGTTTATCATCGTCTATATCTTTTCTTCCTGTATCTACTTTCAGTTTATCATTGTCTACATCTTCACTAGTGTGACATTCAATAACATTTTGTTCATCCAGTTTCATCATTTCTGGGTGGGTAGTTTTTAAGGTTTGCAATTTTGTTAAATCGTCAGTTTTATTTGGCTCTTCTCTATCTTCAAAATGATCTGGTGCTCTGTTCATTTGAAAACTGGCCTCTTCGGATATTTTAATTGTTGAGGATTGTGAATCAACAGATTGGAGAAACTCGGCAGAATTTGTTGATTCAACCAGCGAAGTATTCAATATTGAGATTCCAGTTTGCTTATCTTTAGCTTCTAAACCCGATTTCATGCAATTTGTGTCTTCGCTACATTTTCCACTTTTCTCATTTTGGTCTGTAGTGCTATTTTCCGGAAATGACGATTTTTCAACTTCGGATTCAAGATTTATCAGTTGATAAGAAATGTTTTCCGATTCTTCATAATTATCATTGACGGATTCTTTACTTTCACAAACGTTTGAAATGTTGGATTTCATCTCCCTGTCTAATTCCTCATTTGTTGATTGTCTTTTTATTTCTGCTTCTTTTATTTCATTCATGGCTTCCATCTCACAAATCTTATCCTCGGATTTTTGATCCATGTTCTCAGGATCCATGCTGTCTGATTTGTGTTTTTAAAACATGGATGGACAAACAAGAGTGTTTCTTTCATCAATAAGTGAAAGTCTGGAAGATCTAGTCCCAAACATTCAAGTAGAGTTATTTCCCCTCGGTCATTTTCTATATCTTCTCCATGTGCCTAAAAAATATCAAAATATTGTTTTTTATTATTAGTATAAAATACTATCTTCATTTAAATATTGATAACCTAATATTAAGATAGGTTGCCAGGCAACTAAACATACGCCCACAGCAGCTAACTCGTCCGAGCAGTCGACAAGGGTTGTCACATATTTATTCTTTTGTAGGTAATTAGGGGAATTTAATAGACAATTTCATACAGATGACATTATAATTTTTGTCGTTTGTGGGTTCACAAGGTTCTAAAAACTAAAACATGGGCCGTAACTCTGGAAGCAATCTACAGAAATTGTTCAAATTCGACAGGCTTTTTCGTTTACTAATTCAAATAAGGCATAAAAATTTCATACAGATCGGATGATAAATTTTGTCGTTAGAGCATTTACAAGGTACAACAAAGTGAAACAAGGGCCATAACTCACGGCGTAATTAACGGAAATTGCTGAAATTTAAAAGGCTTCTTCGATTCATTAATTTAAATGATGCATGTCAATTTCAAACAGATCGGATGATAACTGTTGTCATTAGAGCGTTCACAAGATTCAACAAAGAGAAACAAGGGCCATAACTCTAGATGTAATTAATGGAAATTGCTGAAATTCAATAGGATTCTTTGTTTTACTAATTTAAATGATGCATATAAATTTCATACCGATCGGTTGATAACTTTTGTCGTTAGAGTGTTCACAAGGTGCAACAAAGTTAAAAACAAGGGCCATAACTCCAGAAGAAATTAACGGAAATTGCTGAAATTCAATAGGCTTCTTCATTTCACTAATTTAAATGATGCATATCAATTTCAAACAGATCGGATGATAACTGTTGTCATTAGAGCGTTGCCAAGATTCAACAAAGTGAAACAAGGGTCATAACTCTAGATGTAATTAACGGAAATTGCTGAAATTCAATAGGCTTCTTTGTTTTACTAATTTAAATGATGCATATAAATTTCATACAGATCGGTTGATAACTTTTGTCGTTAGAGCGTTGACAAGGTGCAACAAAGTGAAACAAGGGATATAACTCCAGAAGAAATTGACGGAAGTTATTTAAATTAAATGGGTTAGAGCGTTGACAAGGTGCAACAAAGTGAAACAAGGGCCATAACTCCAGAAGAAATTAACGGAAATTAATAAAATTCAATAGGATTCTTCATTTTACTAATTTAAATGATGCATATCAATATCATACAGATCGGTTGATAACTGTTGTCATTAGAGCGTTCATAAGATTCAACAAAGTGAAACAAGGGCCATAACTCTAGATGTAATTAACGGAAATTGATGAAATTCAATAGGCTTCTTTGTTTTACTAATTTAAATGATGCATATAAATTTCATACAGATCGGTAGATAACTTTTGTCGTTAGAGCGTTCACAAGGTGCAACAAAGTGAAACAAGGGCCATAACTCCAGAAGAAATTAACGGAAGTTATTTAAATTAAATGGGTTACTTCATCTCACTAATGCAAACAATATATATCAATTTCAAAACAATCAGATGATAAATGTAGTCTGTAGAGTGTTCACAAGAAATTGTGGACGATCGACGGACGGACGGGGGCGACGGCAATATACGACCACATTTCCATGTGGGCGTATAAAAATACTTAGGTAGATTCAATAAAGATTTTTGAATAATCCCTTTCTTTTTTAGATCGAAGCATGTTTTTCTTTATTCATGGAGAGACAGAAAGAGAAACAGAGAGGTGGGGTTTAATGTCCACTCAACACCTACTAGGTCTTTTGAGGACTAACACATATGGTTCAATTTTATTTCAATAATTCGATTATGCGTAGGGGTATTTAGCAGTGGGAAGAAAAATGGAGGACCCGGAGAAAATCCACGAGGTTGGACAGGCGATCCTACTCCTTGTCACGTACAACCAGGCCCCGAGTACACAAAACATTCTCAGACTTAAGTTAAGAATTTACTCAAAATTGTTCGCCTTATTTGAACTAAAATATAGCCTTTTATAAAACTGTTGTTCTTTTAATATATCAAATACATCATTTAAAACTATGTGCAAAGTTTTGTGTTTCTGGATCAAAGATATTTCTCATAAACAGTGATTGAAAGTTGAGTAAATACTTAATGTAAGTCTGAGAATGCTTTGTGAACTCGGGGCCAGGGAATCGAAAGCACTCCAGATGACTCAATGACAGATCTTATGATACAGCGTGCACGTGCTAACCATTCGGCCATCCAACACCCCCTTTTTTTATGAGCCTATTAGGTAGGCCTAACACAAACCTACTGAAATAGACCTAATAAGTTTTAGTGTCAAGGAGGAAGCAGATAGGATTTTGATAAAATGGGAATATGTCACCTTTTCTCCAAGTCTTTTATCGTAATAAAATGTCTAACCTGTGACCGAAAACAAAAAAAAGATAGGTTGCCAAGCAACAAAACATACGCCCACAGCAGCTAAATTATCCGAGCGGTTAACAAGTGTTGTTGCATATTTATTCTTTTGTATAGGTAATTGTGGGCATTTACAAGAAATTTCATACAGATCAGATTATAATTTTCATTGTTTGAGAGTTCACATGGATCTACATACTGGAACAAGGGCCTTTATATCTGCAAGTAATTTACATACATGTACATGTAAATTGTTGAAATTCGAAAGGCTATTTCGTTTTAATTTAAATGATGCATATAAATTTCATACATATCGGATGATAACTTTTGTCATTTGAACATTCAAAAGGTCCAACTAAGTAGGACAAGTGCCATAACTCTAGGCGTAATTGACTGAAATTGCTGAAATTCAATAGACTTCTTCATTTCACTAATTCAAATGATGCATATCAATTTCATACCGATTGGATGATAAGTTTTGTCTTTGTCATTCAAGCATTGACAAGGTTGACCAAAGTGAAACAAGGCCACAACTCTAGAAGTACTGGTGAAATTCAATAGGATTCTTTAGGTTACTAATTCAAATAATGAATGTAAATCTAATACATAGGCCTATCGGATGATACCTTTAGTCGTTAGGGTGTTCACAAAGTGCAAGAAGGTGAAACAAGGGCTATAAGTTCCATAACTCCAGAAGAAATTAACAGAAATTATTGAAATTATATAGGATTCTTCACCTCACTAATGCCAACAACATATATATCAATTTCAAAACAATCAGTTGATAAATGTAATCTGTATAGTTTTCCGAATCGAACATAAAACCAACGTTCCGTGTACATATTGGTGGGCACGTAAAAGAACCCTAGCCTAGTCGGTTAACATTTAACATAAGAGTAGGCAGTAGAGCAAAATTTCCCCTCCCACATAACACACTTTATGGCATAAGTCTGTCTTCATTAACCCAGTTGTAGCAGAACAGTAGGAGGTTAAAACCCATTTTATTTCATTTTCCCCAGACAGCTGCACTACGGTTCTGCTCCGACTGGGCTGATTAAGACGGGCATATGCCATGTGTGCTATGAGGGAAATTTGCCCTGACAGTGGCGCTAGCTACGTCCTTCTCTTATATCGAATTCCAACTGTCAAAGGATCTTTTACGTGCATGCCAATGTGTAGCCTACACAGGACCTTGTTTTTTTGTCCCATCCAAATGACTAGGCAGCTGTGCTTGTCAGGCCCTATCTATGTCCTGCACCACTGACAAGGGGAAACCATGCCAGAAAACCTTAATGAACTTTTTCAGCCAACACCAGGAGCGAACTCGCAACCTACAGGATAGCAAGACAGCTTCTTACTCACTTAGCCACTGTGGCTTTGGTAATAGGGAGGATGCACTCAATTACACTGAAGTTTATATGTGGCTAGTTCATTCGTAGATGCTGGCTTCTTTCAAATTTGGAGGCACAGAGACTCTGCATCAGATTTTAAAAGTACTGGGCAGTGGGGCCCCTTACATCCATTTTGGGCTTGTGTTGCGTTTGACATTTGAGAATTCGGTGCAATCCGGAGATGCCCCATCGTCCTTTCGACTTTTATCCATTTTTCTTTTGTTTAATTTTTTTTTTTTCCCGCTGGTGAATCGAGGAACATTTGTTTCTGGACTCGGATTCTTCCGCGTTTAACCCTTAGACTATAATTATTTTATAAGTTGGTGCATATAATATGTGTAATGTCCGTATAGACTACATTATTTACTTACGATATTTCATCTTTTGGTTCCAACAAAAAGCATTTAAATTCAGGTCAGCCCTGTTTGCCGTTCGTCAAAAATCAACTACGGTCAGTTACTTCGCGGATATTCTACAGGTCCCCCCTTATTTATGACTGACCGATTTCAAATTTGGCTTGATGTAGGCCTACGGTTGTTACATTAATGTGTGTAGAATAATACTGCAAAAGTTCAGGTCACTTGTGTTAGGTTGGGGGCCCCCCACATCTTCAAGGTCCCAACAATGGTTAATCCGGCGCTGTATGAGGGGCCTGTGCATCAGGGCCCCAAACAAAATTGATATAGTACGCACCTGATTATTTGGAGTAATGAATCCATGTCCAATGAATATAAGGCATGGAAATAAAATGATTTACCAACACTGCAGCCGCATAATTCAACGAGCTTTTCATTTTTAGGTTTTAAACGGAAAATCAAAATTTCCATTCCATGCAGTAATTTCTGCAGAGAATATTTAGATGGCCATGACATTCAATCAAACATTGGTCTGAACCCTGAGCATTGCCTTGAGAAATATTTGTTCCCATCCCTAACACAACTGTCCCCAAATAAACCTTTTGATGTTTTCTTATTTGAAATTGTCAAATATATTTGATTACCACCAACTTACTAAAATAGTTTGCAGGCAGGTCTTTGGAAAATTGTGCAGAATTCACAATAAATCGGCATGGAAATTTGGGGCTGGATATCGTCACGTGACTGCCCAACATCAATTTCCCATAATGCATTATGACAATGGCTGCCTGCATAAATGGTTATTGACGATTTCGATCCAACAGGTCGAGAATTGGCGCAGTGGCGTTCGGAATCGGCATGATTCAATTTATTTGTTAGATGTGTTATTATCGAACGGTTAGAATTTATTTGTGCTATTGTATTGTCGGTGACATGGCGTTGGTTACCGGAAATTTGTAGATTTGCAGTGAATAATCTGAGTAGCTGAACTTTGGCTTTGCTGAAGCGTGACTCATGACGCAATTTGACCTCTTCATTTGCTGCAGGCTTTTCATTTGATAGCGTTACTTGAGGTGTGTCGTTCATATCGCCAACATGTTACTACACTAAAGCGTTCTGGGGACAATCAGCCTTCAACTATGGCGTCCTCAAGGACATTTTTCGTCGATCGTACGTTTGTTTTTTTGATTCTGTATTTACTTCAAGTAATACTTGGCATCGAAAGTGTCCCGTTAGGACAACACACGCCTCCCGATGCAGGCTGTGATTTGATTGGGAAATTTTCGAGCCCAGGCGTTTTCTATGAGCATTTTATGAAGCCAGGGATTCCCTTGATTATGAAATCCGTGTTAGAAGATGTCGAGTTTCCTGCTTATTTGAACTGGAAGGACGATGATTACCTCAGGCAAGTAGAAATAAATTCTATTTTTTTTTTTCTTTTATTGACTAGTTTGTCATAGTTTGGGTCTGTTTTTGTTTTCCTTTTCCTTTCATACCTTTTCTTCAGTCTTAAGCCTTGACTTCTTGACTTTTTTAGCCAAGTGGCGTGGTTTTGGTTTTCCGCTTGTACATGTTCATACATGACAAGCAGTATGGTCGCTGCCCAACCTTGTTATTCTCGAAAGGACCTAGTTTGTGTCGATTGGACATTAAACCCCATGTACAATCATGACAAGGATTGGGTCGCAGTCCAACCCCGAAATTAAACCCCATTCCTCTCTATAGTTATTAATCATTTTGTAGAAAATTATATTTCACATTCAGAACACTAAAATTATTGATTTAAGATCATTTGTAGCCAACCTAGAGCCTATACATCTGGAATTTGGAGTGTGTTTAGTGAATCACAACAAGCTGACAAATATCCAAGAGCAAGGCAAATAGTTTTGGCAGATACTCGCCAATTGATCTTAACAATAATCCCATTGTTATATTCATCATCATACGGTTTTCTTCCAAGAAGTGAATCTGCCAAAGAAATAATCTTTTTTAAACTTTTAGAGGCATTTATTAACTGGATAGAGCAATAATTGAATAAACTATAACACATACTTATGGGAAAAAAACATCTACCGGTACCGATATACTTACTTATTTGGGCTTGATAATGTTAAGAGAACACTGTTCGAAACAGTAGCTGTGTTTCCATAAGTATGTGTCAAAGTTTTTAATAGAAATAGCATAAATGCGAATTGTTCAATTTTCTAGGCTTTGATGAAGCTTTTGGTTGTTAACAGCAATGGGGGGGTTGGATGGCCTAATGGTTAGCATGTGCGAGCTGTATCGTAAGGTCTGTCATTGAGTCAACTGGCGTGGTTTCGAATAGCCAATTGTACATGTACGTGACGAGGAGTAGGGTCGACTGTCCAACCTTTTGGGTTTTCTCCTGGTCCTCCGGTTTCCTCCCACTGTTAAAGACCCCTACGCGCAAGAGAATTATTGAAATATGATTAAGACAATATGTTAGTCCCAAAATGACCTAGTTTGTGTCGAGTGGACATTAAACCCCATTTCTCTCTCACTCTGTTAGTCAGCAAATTACTCATTATCATCCAAGTAGCGAATATCCTTTGCCATACTGTAAAATAAATTTTTAACATAAGATAAGAAATAGCACACATATTATTCCGTTGTTGGGTGTGATTATGGTACATGTAATAAGTGACATGAATGAATGAATAATTGTATTCTTTTATAAGTAGGACTATCGATATGCCTCTGCTATTTTATAAATAAATTGCTACATACTTTTTGAGTTTTCTCTGTTGTTATTTCTATTTCGTTGTGACTGGTAGGCCTATATGAGAAAGGCATTATTATTGTTATTACTAGGCCCTACATTTCTTTAATACAAGACAAAGCAAATCATTTGCTATAGCCAACATATATAGTTACAGCTTACATAGAATATATATGATTTAATCACACAACAGTAATGGGTGTTTGAATTAAAGATACATTATGTAAGGTTTAGATAACGAGCTTGCCTTTTTTTGCTATAATAGTTCGAAAATAGATAATGTAAAATGAATAATTTGAAAATTTCATTCAAATTACTCTATTGCAAGCGAAGATATTAGCCTTTGAAGGTTTGACAAGACGTGTGCAATAATTTCAACCACCGTACTGGTTGTTGAAGCTAAGTCTCCCTCCTCCATTTTTAAATTAAATCAAAATATGGCTGAACCGTTCTAATCTATTTAATATCAGAGAAAACTGATGCTATCGAGAGTTGATTACGTCCTGGATAAGTTCATTAATGTCTAATGAATAATTTAGAAAACATTTCAGGCCTAAAGAAAGACCTGCAATAGGCAGATTTAGCTATTGCATAATGTATGTTTAGTTTAAGGAACATAAAAACAAATACAGGTCTTTATTTTCAGTTATCAACTTCAATCTATCCTTAGAAAAATAAAATGCAAGATCACACATTTTCCAAGAAAGACACTTGACCCATTTTTCGTATTCATATTCAGAAACCAGTTTGCACCAGTATGAAGTTTTTTTTATTATAGCTACTTTTTATACGCCCACATTTTCATGTTCTCAAATAGCGTAAGAAAATGGTATATCAAGGTTGTGGACCCTATAGAGGTCACAATTTTTATCCGATTTTGTTGAAACTTGAAATGTAAGTTTATAACCCAAAGATCTTGGTTCCTTTCGATATTCGCACATATCGGACCTTAACTTCCTGAATTGTGGCCCCTGATTGTACGAAAAATTGCGTTTTTAGCTTGTGGATCCTATAGAGGTCATAATTTTTATCCGATTTAAAAAAACGTATTATTATATCACCGTTACACCCCGAGTACGACTGAAAATTGACAGACAAAATGGCTGCCGTTCGTTCAGTTCCTTTCGATATATGCGCATATCGAATTGTAATTTCCTGAATTATGGCTCTTGATTTTAGGAAAAATCACTTTCTTGTTAGCTTGTTCTTTATCCATCTCTCGAAAATGTGGGCGTATCCTGCCTGGCCGCCGCTGGTTTAAATTAATAATAGAAAAAACCTAAACCATGAGATTTCTATTTATCTAGTAACACCCAACAAACTCAACCACCATATCTACCCAACAAACTCAACCCCCATATCTACCCAACAAACTCAACCACCATATCTAGGGATCACGTGGCTAAGGGGGTAAGATGCTAGCTCGCTAGCCTGGAGGTCGGGTGTTCGATCCCTGCATTGGCCAAGAAAGTTCATCCAGATTTTCCGGCGTGGTTCTCCCTTGTCAGTGATGCAGGACGGAGGGGCTGACAAGGAAAGCTGTCTAGTCGTTCGGATGGGACGAAAAACCGAGGTCCCATGTACACATTGGCGTGCACGTAAAAGATCCCTTGGCAGTTGGAATTCGATATAAGAGTAGGCCGTAGTGCCGCTGCCCGGCCAGAATTTCCCTCATAGCACACTGTACATGTATGGCGTATGCCCGTCTTCATTAGCCCAGGTTAGGAACAGAACAGTAGGACGTTAAACTCCATTTCATTTCATTTCAACCCCCATATCTACCCAAAATACTTTCTGGAGTTCTGTCGCTTACTTTTAGTTTCCTAACATTTTTGTAGATCTAATTTTGGAAGTGAAAAGATGAAAGTTGAAAGCCAAAAGAAAGAGAATCGTTTAAAAGAATCTGTAAAGCTGAGTCTTGATGAATTTTTGGACATTTACCGCAAGAAGCCAGTTTATCTCATTGATAGTATTACACAGAAAATGAAAGGTAAAATGATTCTAGATTTTTAATTTCAGTTATTAAATGTTTCTTTGATTGGCATTTAGTAATTGAACATATTATAATATACACAAGGTCCAATTTTATGGATACACAATTACATGTACTGAGCTTAATACTAAGTATCCTCGTCGAAATGTTGCTTAGTAGTATTAAACTCAGTAATTATATATCCACAAAATTGTACTTTGTATCAAATGTTTCGTTGCTTGTATAATGTAAGTTATGTATGTCCTCAATTCTCTGAAATTTGAGAGAGCAGGATGTCCTGTTAAGGATGTGTCACATGTATGTCAAATTTAGATAAAGTGTTTGAGGTTCTACTTGCAGGGCTATAATAGTTTAAATATAGATAATAATAAAGAATGAATATACAATGTATTAACAATTTCAAACTGAGTGAACTGGGTCATGTGTTAGCTCATTCAGTTGCTAAATGTACATTGTATCTTAAACATACATTATGTAAGATTTAGATAAATAACTAGCCATTCTTGCTAAAAGTAGATGATGTAAAATGAATAATTTGAAAATTTCATTCAAATTACTTTATTGCAATCGAAGATATTAGCCTTTGAAGGTTTGACAGACGTGTGCAATAATTTCAACCACCGTACTGGTTGATCGAAGCTAAGTCTCGGTCCTCGATATTTGTTTAAATCAAAGTATCGCTGAACCATTCTAATCTATTTAATATTGTGACCGTGAGGTCCGTCAGATATTACAAGAGTCTGGAATGGTTCTTCAATTCTTTAATACTGGAAACTTATAATAACAATTATCTACATACACTTACAGGACCACGGATAACCGACTAGTACCTTATGCTACTAATTCGGATAGACCTAAATGACTGACGTATCAAGTACATGTACAACCACATATTTATATGGAATTACTTCTAATCACTTGGCTAGATCAAGTGTTGACATAAATAAGCATTGATGTAATAATGTACAATATAAGAAATAAAACGATGGTAAATAAAACAATTAATAGATTAATCATACAATTGACATGTTCACCAGACAGGCCATATTGTCAGTTACTTTCTATCTATAACAGTATTTTATAAACAATAAGGGATTATAATAAATTAATATGTCATTAGGATTACATAACATTTCACCCTTGGCTAGTCACCTTTTAATAGCACACATACAATTAATGTTTTAAAGGAATAGAATAGTTATTGTCCTGAGAGTTTAAATAAATTCAATTTGAAGGCTTTCACTTTTAAAATTAATAATATATTATCTTAAATATTCAAGATTTAAATTATAACATATAACTACTATAACCTGCACGGTTATAATATCGATGAAATCTGATACCATCGCGAGTTGATTATGGCCTGGATTAGTTAATTAATGTGTAATTAATACTTCAGAAAACTTTTCAGGCATAAAGAAAGACCTGCAATGGGCAGATTTAGTTTAAACATACATTATGCAAGAGCTAAATCTGCCTATTACAGGTCCTTCTGAAATGTTATATAAATTATTAATTAGACATTAATTAACTTATCCAGACCTTAATCAACTCTCGATGCCATCACTAGAGTGTGATATTTAGTGGATTGGAATGCATTTTGTGAAGAATGATTAAACGTAAAAATGGATAACTATTAAAGCAAGAACTGTCAACTCTTTATCTAATCAACCATAATACCCCTTTAAACCATTTATTTGTCATATAAATTACTGGCTATAGTATGAGGTCATAAATATATAGAATGTTCAAACTTTGTGTAGATCTTATTGAGGTATCGTAACTATTTTCTACTTGGACAACATATGTACATTTAGGACTATAAATGTCAAAATGTCGGTGAACTAGCTTAGTGTCTGTTCTCTAGCAGAGTTTACTGTAGACAGACAGTCTAGGTTTAGTATGTAACTCTGCTTCTACATGTAATTGCGGTAGATTGTTTAAATGTTCAAACTTGGTGTAGATGTTTGTTGTAGGGTTTGCCATGACTTAGTTTGATGATCTGCTTCAACTAAACAGATACACAATTTAGGATTTTTTATCCGTGTTTAAAATTTTACAAAAAAATATTAAAAGTGATTTTATTTCCTCCTTTGAAAAATTATTTTTATGGTTTCAGATGATATGATGTTGCCATTGACTCTCCAGTGTGGAGGTTTTGAACGTTCTATACATGACGTAGTTTTATGGTTTAGTAGCGGTGGTACGAGTTCCGTGTTACATCGTGACCCGTTAAATAATCTACTGTGTATTTTAGATGGTAGCAAGGAGTTATTGCTCATAGATAAAGTAAGTAAATTTGTCCATCTTTAAAAGCCAATATTCTGCATAAGTCAATGGTTTCATAGACATGTTCATATTTGATTGTCTCAGCTATATCGTGAGGTCCAGAAAAAACATGAGGACACTATTTGAAGTGGAATAATTGAAAAAGTATTGTACCTCACTGTTCACTTTGGGAAGGGAGGGGGGGGTGGCTGAATGGTTAGCGCATGTGCATTGTATCATAAGGTCTGTCATTCAGTCAACTGGCATTGTTTCAATACCCCGGTTGTATGTGACCAGGAGTAGGGTCACCTGTCAAACCTCGTGGGTTTTCACCAGGACCTTGAGTTTCCTCTCACGGACCATGTTAGTCCTGAAATAACCTAGTTTATGTCAAGTGGACATTAAACTCTCTCCCTGCTCCCACTGCTAAAGACCCCTACGCACAGGCAAATTATTGAAATAAAATTGAACCATGTGTTAGTCCCAAAATGACCTCGTTTGTGTCAAGGGGGTTTAACCCTCCCTCTCTCTCTCTCTCTCTCTCTCTCATGTCTGTTTGATCAACCATGCTATGATGAAAGAGTGTAAATGATTTGGTATTGTCGTTGACATTGACCAACATAGGATTATAAACAATACACTAATCTTCTCTCTGAGCAGGTTGTTTTCGATAAACTCGATAATAAACGATCCCATAGTAGAATTAGATTTCATCATTAGGCAGGAATTTATCATTGAGCAGGAATTTCAATATGTTAGTCTCAAAGTACCCATAGGACATTGAATTTTAAATCCTTTTCTTTTCCATGTACATGTAGAAGGGGTTGGGTGGTCTAGCGGTTTAACAGGTGCATGTGAAATTGTGTGGTCTGTCATTGACTCAAGTGGTGTAGGGTTGCCTGATCAAGCTTGTGGGTTTTCTGCTTGACCTCTGGTTTCCTGCCACAGACCATATGTTAGTCCCGAAATAACCTAGTTGGTGTCAAGTGGACGTTGAACTCTCTCTCTCGTCATTTCATTGATAATTTTAAAAATACAAGTATCTATAGGTACTGATGTTATTGTGTTTTTGTAGAAGTACAAGTCTGTTGTGGAATCGGTAGGATTTGTAGAAAATGGTGAATATAGTAATATAGACGTAGACAACGTCGATAAAAAGAAATACAAAGATTTATTGAATTTGCCTTGGATTAAAGCCCATGCGGAGAAAGGAGACTGTATTTTTATTCCTCAAGGGTAAGTTAGAATCTTTAGTTTGTTTCTGTTTTGGAGGGAGGCAGGTGTCGCAACTTCTTATAGACTTCTTAACTGGCGTTTCGATTCCTGGTTGTACGTGACAAGGAGTATGGTCGCCTGTTCAACCTCGCTGGTTTTGTCTGGGTCCTCCAGTTTCCTCCCACTGCTAAAGACCCCTACGTGCAGAGAATTATTGAAATAAAATTGAACCATATGTTAGTCACAAAATGACCTAGTTTGTGTCGAGTGGATGTCAAACCCCATTTCTCTTTGTCTCAATTTCATCTTTTGATGATAATAAGTTGTCCAGGGCCCACTCCACCCCACATGGTTAATTCAGCCCAGACTGGAACTAAGTTATCAATCATTGTGATCTTGAACAAAATGAGTAATATACCTGATTCATTTTTAAATAAAAAGAATTTTAAAGCTTTAATTGTTAGACATTATTTAGTGATATCAGCAGAAATTCCTGTAGAAATAGAATTCTGACAATTCAAAAGTTAAAAAGCTGGAAGTTTTTTTCAGGTTAAATGTTTCCATCTTGGATGAAAATTTCTCTTTTTCTTTTGATTTTCTACTTTTTATGCCTCCATGAATTTTGATTCTGATAACTCTCACTTTGGGTAAATTACACTTGACTCTGGTGATCAATATCAGTTGGTAGCTCGGTTAAACCGTTAGAACCCAATCTAATTAAAACACAGATTATATTTTGTTTTGTTTTTTATAGTTCAAAATTTTGTTTTACTTGTCTTGAGTACACTAGGATCTGGAATGGTTGTTATATAACCTGCGTTCTGGTTGATGTTAGGGATTAGCCAATGAAATGTTTTTTACGGCTAGTTCTTGGCGTGCTGTGCATGGAACTGTGGGTATCTCTCTAGAAACATGAACGCTGATTGGTTAATCAAATGTCTGATGTTTTAGGGTAAAAAAACGCTCTTATGGCCCCTGACGCATCATTCCAGTGCAACCGGTCAGATCTTTATTTAGTGTAGGCCATCGAAAGTATAAAAAAACGAAACAAAATATAGACCTTTATTTTAATCAGGTTGTGATATGACCCTTATAGACTCGTCACCAGTAACAAAAAATTGATAGCTTTTAATTCTATTCTTTTGTAGTTGGTATCATCAAATACGGTCAAATGGAAGAAGAAATATGGCTGTCAACTACTGGATTTCGCACCGCTGGTGGTTCGATCATCCCAGCTGTCGCCTGTTCGAGAAATTTAATAAAACTGAACCAATCAATAAATATCCCTACGCATCACCAAATGAATTTGTCAGGTAAGTTAATTAGATTTGATATTCAGGATTGATATTGATGTGACAAGGATAGTGTCTAGTTGTTCGGATCGTATGGAAAAACCGAGATCAAGTCTACACATTGACATGCACATAAAAGATCCCTTGACAGTTGGAATTCCAATAACAGTAGACTGTAGCCACCCTGTCCTGGCAAAATTTCTCTCATAGCACACTGTATGGTGTAAGCTCATCTGAAGTAGACATGGCGGTGCAGAAAATTGGGACATTAAACCCCTATTTGTAAAATATTGAACTGTGTACTTTGGATCATTGCTTTCAAAAGAAAAAATAAATCTCAGAAAATTGTTGATATGAAATTACTGTCAAATGAGGATGAAGTTATTGTTAACAACTGTTATTTTGCATAGAACAAAATATATTTGTAAGAATATTATTATTACAGAATGGATAATTCAGTTTTCTTTCATATTAATTTTAATACAGTATGTATTTAGTTATAAAGAAGTATTATGTTTTTTTTATTATTATTATTGTTATTATTATTACAGAATCAAATTGATTTTGAAACACTTCTGTATTTTTTTTTTTTAAAACCTATATTTGTTTTCTAGGTACAAGATGTTAGAAGCGTATAAAGATTTAGATATCGTTGCTAAAAATAACTTTCTTGAACCAAATGTTGATAAAACCAAACGACTTAAAGTAAGTCCTTTAAATAGATGGAAATGGTACTTGGGGCGGGGGCTTTCCCATGGGGGGGGCCACAGTGGTTCAGTGTGTAACGGAATGGGTCACAAACCAGGAATTCCTGAGCAGAAAAAGTTTCCAGCTCAACATCCCTTGTCAGTGATGCAGAATGGGTAATGGACAGTCAGAATGACATGGAAAAAGTGTCTAGTCCTTTGAATGGTACTAAAAACATGAACCATGTATTCACTGAGGTGGGGGTGGTGGATGGCTGAATGGTTAGCATGTGCGTGCTGTATCATAAGGTCTGTCATTGAGTCAACTGCCGTTCTTTCGATTCCCAGGGTGTATGTGACAAGATGTAGAGTTGTCTGTCCAACCTTGTGGGTTTTCTCTGGGTCCTCCAGTTTCCTCCTCTGCTAAAGACCCCTATGCACAAGCGAATGTGTTAGTCCCAAAATGACCTAGTTTGTGTCGAGTGGACGTCAAACCCCATTTCTCTCTCTTTATTGATTGGACAAATTTCTTTTACTTTTCAGTTGTTTGAGTTCATAAATTTGGATCGTGACACCTATCTCACTTGGGAAGAGTTGTACAATTTTGATATTGATGCTGCTGTGACGAAATTCTCTGATGTTCTGGCCCAAGATTACCGACGACCAGAAGAATTTGTGAATGACGAAACTGAAACAAAGGCAGAAGAAGGGAGTAAGGAAGATATAAAAAATAATGAATCGAAGGTCCAAAAAGATGAGTTATGAGGTCCTAAAAAAGTATTTTGTAAAACATGTATTCCATTATCAACTAATAATGGGTTGGTTAATGTCGACCCAAAAATGTTGAGTTTCTATCTTGTGACATTAAGATTAGTCTCCAAGAAAGATTATTCAGAGTTTGAAGTTTCAAAACGTCTTGACGTGAGAACTCAGAACATTTAAAATTTGCTCTGAACATTTGAAATTTGAGAACTCAGAACATTTAAAGGTTGAGAACTCAAAACATTTAAAAGTTGAGAACTCAGAACATTTAAAAGTTGAGAACTCAGAACATTTAAAAGTTGAGAACTCAGAACATTTAAAAGTTGAGAACTCAGCATTTGAGATTTCAGAACATTTGAAATTTGAGATTTCAGAACATCTGAAATTTGAAGAATCTGAACATTTGTAATTTAAGAACTCAGAATATTTGAAATTTGACAACTCAGAATATTTGAAATTTCAGAACATTTGAAATTTGACAACTCTGAACATTTGAAATTTGACAACTCTGAACATTTGAAATTTGACAACTCTGAACATTTGAAATTTGAGAACATATCAGAATAGTGTCAATGATCAAGGAACATTCCATAGATGAAAACATTCCAAGAAATGAACATTTGAACTAGTTTGAAAATGTCCGAGATTAGAATTGAAAATATTTTGAGAAAATGATCATAACAATGTCGGCTAGTCAATGAATCTGAAAACATTCCTCAGATAAAAACATTCCACAGTGCTAAAAATCAAATATTAATTAAACTGCCACCGGTGAAATCTATTCCGTTGACCTCAGATAAGCGAACAATTTAACTTTTTTGGGCCATTATGCAAAAAGTTTCAAGATGGTGTTATGTGAACATTCTAAATACTAAAATCTAGTCCAGATTTTAAAAGTTGTAGATTCCAGTCCAATTTGAAAAATTGTTAGATTGTGTTTCGTCAAGGGTCTACATATCTCTAGCTTCAAGGATTCGCAGAATGTGTTTTCTAGCTTCAAGGATTCACAGAATGTGTTTTCCAGCTTCAAAGCTTCAGGTTTGAGTAGGTAATATGGCAGGTTTGTAGGAATGATTCTAATATTGAGATTGGTGAGAAGAAGCCATAGAAGTATTTTAAAAATATCTTAGTTTTAAAATTCGCTGTTAGCCAATGAAAAGGGCTGTATTTAAAATATTTCACTCTTAGCCAATGAAAAGGCTGTATTTTAAAAATATCTTAGTTTTAAAATTCACTCTTAGCCAATGAAAAGGCTGTATTTTAAAAATATCTTAGTTTTAAAATTCACTCTTAAACAATGAAAAGGTTGTATTTAAAATATCTTAGTTTTAAAATTCGCTGTTAGCCAATGAAAAGGTTGTATTTTAAAATAGTTTAGTTTTAAATTTTGCTCTTAGCCAGTGAAAAGGCTGTATTTTAAAATGTTTTAGTATTTGTAAATAAGACCTTCTAATTGGAATTAGAACTATATTATTATTTCCAAGCCAGTTATTCAGTTGATCACTGCATCTGAATAGATGGATCCAGATTAAAAACATTTTTAACCCCTTTAGATAGTCTTTTAAAAATTGGGGGGTTGGATGGCTGAATGGTTAGCGTGCGCGCGCTGTATCATAAAGTCTGTCATTGAGTCGACTGGCGTGGTTTCGAATCCCCGGTTGTACGTGACAAGGAGTAGGGTCGCCTGTCCAACCTCGTGGGTTTTCTCTGGGTCCTCCGGTTTCCTCCCACTGCTAAAGACTCCTACGCGCAAACGAATTATTGAAATAAAATTAAACCATATGTTAGTCCCGAAATGACCTAGTTTGTGTCGAGTGGATGTTAAACTCCATTTCTCTCTCTCTCTCTCTTTTAAAAATTTTATCTATTTATCTACCGTAAGACTTCAATCCCAATTTCATTTATTTTCTGTCTTGAAAAGGATGTGAATTTTTCATTGTGTAGCAACTATGCTCATAACCCAACCCTAAATCTAACCTTGTGGGTTTTCCTCCCACTGCGAAAGACTCCCCCACGCACAGTCAAATTTTTTGAGAAAAAAAAATTAAACCAAAAGAAACCTAGTATGTGCCGCATGGATATTAAACCCTATTTCTCTCTCTCTCCGTCCCTCTTTCTCTCTCTAAACCTTAACCCTCAGTCCCGGTAAATGCTTCATTATTAAAAATTTTGGTTTGTTTTAATGGAATTATCAATCCGGTTATTTCGTTTGTCAGGAACCAGCAACTTACACCATTGATTTATAATCGATTACGAAATGTATCTCTGTTTTTATCTATAAATAATTTTTGTATTAAAAGTGTTCGTGAAAGTTACTATACCAATTTTAACAAATGCAATTGAAATAATGAAGTCAAAACATTGAATATTAAATCCATTAAATTGGCACCAAATTTGACCTTTGACCTCATTTACCCTAAGCTACTTTTGGAAATGTGACATACATGTACATGTCACACTGGGCTCCAATGTTTGTAAAGTGACAAGAACATAAGGATTTTCAAAAGTATATTCAACTTTAACTTTGCCATATTCAAAACAAAACCACATTATGCTGTGGCTTCAGACTTTACTACACTGCCCTCGAAGCTACTTCTCAGACTATGCCTTTTCCACCTGGCATGCAAGCTAGTCTTCAGTCTGATAACCCTGATCCAAACAATGTCATTGATAAGATTCACACCAAACATAGGTCAGCAGTCTGACCTCCTTCTGCTATATCCGAATCCAAACTTGGGACCCAAATACAACGGCCCATCAAAGTCACTGGCACTATTTCTTGTGGAATGCCATGAATCAGTTGCTTCCCTCTACAAAACAAAGTCTAATCCCACACTTGGAACACTGGGTGGTGGTCTGTTGTCCTCACTTGTTTTACAACGCCCCCGCTTCTATACTTTGACTAACCAGTGTCTGTATTTGTCAAAGCAGATCGAGTGGACGTTAAACCCCATTCCTCTCTCTCTGCTCTGTCAAAGCAGTTACCTACAATGCTTGCAAGATGGTCAACTGTTCCACTGAAGTAGATGAATTTACCTACAATGCTTGCAAGGTAGTCAACTGTTCCACTGAAGTAGGTACAGTTACCAAGATGGTTGTCTGGGTCATTTCCAATTTTCCAAGTTTCTGTTTGCAAAAGTTGTTTAAACTTTCGTAAGTTGTTTAAAGTTTCCCAAGGCTGTTTAAACTTGCCTAAGTTGTTTCCACGTGCCCGAGTTGTTTCCGATTGCTGTAACCTTGTTGGTTACTTTTCCTTGGATCAAGGCCGAGAGCCTCTAGCTTGTCTTGCGAGGGACTAGGTATGGATAACTCCCAAACCTTCTAGACCACCCGTTGTGAAAACGGTCTAATTCCAGGTATTGTTCTGGCTGGATCGTTGGTTGTCTAGTGGTTAGGACTATTCTTCTTTAATTGGATCGTTTCCAGTTCCACGGGATAAAATATCACAATACCCAAATGGGTTTAATGTCGTTTATAGTTCTGTTAGGCACATACAATTTTTACAAAAGATTGGTAGGTCTCACACTCTTGACAGAATTCAAAATAAATTGTACTTAACACTACGTACGTTTACAGCAATAAACTTCACGTCCGATAAATTCCTAATTAAGAATATCGTACTAGTTAGATTACGTTAATAATCTAACCTGCCTACGATGTAGAAACGTGTCGGTCAAGACTGAGAGCCGTATCTTGACTTGCTGTACGTACCTGATATCTATCCTATTGTAGACCAAAATCTAAGACAAAAATTTGAGAATTAATTTAGAGCTTATAAACCTTATGGTTAATTTTGTTATAAATGACACGAAAGTTACGAACAACTCGCTTACAACTTTGCATGTCTATATAGAAGACATATAGGTTGTTATTCACCGAATTTATATGATATGATTTATGTAGAAATGACCAAGTTACATAGTTGTATCATTAAGCTAATAGAATCTGTCAAATGGGTGATCTCTTAAATTTAGAATATACATAAGTTCGTCATTATATAATTTCCTCTTAAGGCCAGACCAATTTATTTTCTTGTTTTACGGATTTTTTCTGGAAAAATCTGTAAAGGCAGGAGGGAAAAAAAAAAAAAAAAAAAAAGACCAAAATTGTGTAAAGGGCAGGGGGAAAAAAAAAAAAATACCCCCAGAAGTTTTTGAGCTAAAATGGAGTGAAAATTCAAGTTTTATGGAATAACGGTATTATTTGTCACTTTATATTTATCATAATAACTATTAGAGTTTGGGGTTCACTGAATTTTTTGGTGATGATGGAAAAATCCAAAATGGCGGAAATTTAAAATGGCGGCTATATTACTTTAAATTTATAGGCATTGCAATATCTTCACTATTTCTCACTTTGCATGCATCATATTGAGCTATATGAGGGTGTACAGGGTTGCTGAGTCAATTAATAAAATTAAAATTAATATGAAAAAAATTCAAAGGGCGGGAATTCAAAATGGCGTCTATATTACTTAAAATTTGGTTGTACTGCAATACATTTACTATTTCTCACTTTATATTCACCCTCACTGCACATACTTGGCACATGCCCGTCTCTAATTAGCTTTACGGTGCATAAAAATGGGACATTAAACTACATTTCATTTCATTTTCCTGCATAAAACCAAAACAACCTTTAAGTGAACACATTTAATAAAATAAAAGTTGAAACAGCTATTTTACAGTGTTAAAGTCTAGTGACATCTGTTTTGGGGCTCCTACTTAATGTCTTTCCCTTTCACCATGGCTTCCTTGCCATCATCTTACATTTTTCTTAGTCTTTTTACATTTCTTTTCCCTCTCACTATGGCTTCCTTGCCATCATCTTTACATTTCACACATATCGGTCGAACAACACTGTATTGCGCTTGCAAGCTTTGAATGTTTTGATCTGCAGCAAAATCTGAAGACTTAGCTACTCCACAATGAAAACAAACTGCAGGTAATGATACAGTGCTCTTTGAATAGTAAGTTGTTTCCATCGTGGAGCAACATCTCAATCCTTCTCGGACTATTATAGAACTATTATATTTGCTGGAATGTGGGAAGAGTGGGGAACCACATGTAAAAGAATTAAGTTCTTTGAGACGATCAACAGCTTGTTTCTCTATATATGTTAGTTTAGTTTCAGAGTACACACACCGTGGTTTCCCACATTCGACACATAACACCGCATCTCTTACTTTAGTAGCATTGAGAATTTTTCTATTCTTTTTGTCAATTTCCTTATTTTGGGAAGACAGCATTAGCGAGGGCCTTGCCAAATCATTTGTTGCTTGTCCATAAACAGTTTCGAATGATTCATATTTATTGTTGGATGCTACCACAGGATCTGGAACGAAGGATAGGGTATCAAACACTTCATCAGGAAGTCTTGGTGGGTTAAAGAGACAGTAAGCACAGTTTTCTATCAGAGCATTCGCACATTTTTTAATTTGAAATGTGTAATTACGTAAACGACAGTGCTTCTTCATGAAATCTTGAAGTGTTGCTGATTTTTCTAGATCAGGTTTTGTTAGTTTGTTTTCAATCAGATTTTGGTCTATCAGATCCTTCACAATCTTAAAAAAGTCATCAATTGATTCTTGATTTGCAGATGGACTAATAACTATTGGTTCCCCTTTTAACTTCAAATGACCAAATCTCTCCTGCAACAATTCTATAACAGGTGCTACTGATTGGATGAGACCCTCTTTAAACGCAGGGTATCGTCTTGCTGTGTCTCTGGCTGCTTTTAGACTATTTATACCCCTCATCTTCATTTCTAGATTGTCTGTCATATGTTCTCGAGAAAGACTCACATTTTGCAAAGCAAGATTAAGATTAGAATTAACTCGTTCCGCTAAATTGGCCCAACTACCCATAGGTGCAGTGCGAGCAGTTATAAGAAAATCTAAATCTAACCACATGAACATGCAGATGGCTGCTATTTGAACCGAACCAAATGTTGTCCGATGATCTGGGCCACCGTCTGTATACATGATCAAAATTGGGTGTTCAGCGTTTACTTGGGTATCATCCTGGCTATAATGTGTTCTTAATATATTGGTTGTTTCACAACCATGGCGGATGGCATTTGACGGACTGAAAACCTTATCTTTAACCGTCACAAAAGCTATTCCGTTGAAGAAGGAACTAGATGCAGCCTCAGGGATATCACATTTGAAAGTAACTGAGGGGATAGCACCACAAACATTGTAGTCATGGTCAAGAGCACTTATCGAAGGGCCTGATTTCGGAGCCAGAGAACGATTATGAGGTCTTACTCCTGTTGAAACTGGTAATCCTGGTTCTCCAATTGGCACAATAGCCTTGTCATCCATCCACAAGAAATCTGTAAATTCTCTATATTTTACCGCAAAGGCTTTGATGTACTGTAGTTGTACTGCTACATAGTGACTATCCTCATGCTGACCTCGTATTTGTCTGGATTGAATAGTAAACTTAACTTCAAACCTTGCCGTATATCGCAGTGCTGTTATTGTGTTTGGGTTAGTTGGCCAGAATTGTAATCTCACCCATTCGTTTGATGGGATCGGAGTGTTTTCGGGCAACCGCTTTTTTATAATTGACACAAGGTCTTCAATAGATATTGCGTATGGTAAGTACATATGTTGACCATGACGTCTCTCATGTACAGCTAGATTTATTTCATTGAAATAATTGTCAAGTTCGGTCCAAAATATATCAAACTTTGAATTTCGAGCATTGCCGTTCATCTTTCTTAAATCCCATGTGAGTTCAGGATCCTGGAGGGAGATAACTTCTTCCACACGTTTATCAATAACCTCCTGGTCTTCGGTTTCTGCAGACGAGCAGTCGTTAGTTAGAAATCGATACAAATTTCTGAGGACTGCTTTGGGTGAATTTGTAGCTTGTACATATTTGTTGAGGAACTGTTGCCTGATGTATCGTGTGGAAAATGTAGGTATATATTCACTTATTTGCTGTACAGTTTTAACTGTTTTATCATCTGATCTTTCATCTTCGGGTGGAAGCTTCCAAATGAAATTAATATTTCCCAAGTAATTACCATGAAAATATGTGTAATGGGCGACAGGATACGGAAGTTGCATATGTTCTAACCATGAACGCCTGTCAAATCGCTCTTCTGGTAAGAATTCAACCAAATCAAGGAATTCGTAAGGTTCTTTCACAGACAAGGTTGCATCTAATGCCATGTAATCAGCTCTAATTGGACCTGTGAGTTTTTGGATTGGGGTTAATGAAAAATTGATGTTTGGATTCCTCAGTGGTTCCATGGAAGCATTGCGCGCTTGTGATCGAATGTTTTGTTGACATAAAAAGTCAGCATACTTCTTCAATATGTTAATCAAGCCTTCCACAGCATTGAATAATTTAGTAAACTTCATGGTCCATGGAATCATTAAAAAATCTGACATTTCATCTATCAATGACCTAAGCTTACTCTCTTGCATCTGAAATTATAAAATAGAAGAGGTTATCAAAGGAACAAATGAAAATCAAATTCCGTAACAAAATGAATCCCGTTTTATTCCCTGAACACTTAATTTCTCAACAAACTCTCAGATTATCATCTTACAGTTACACTCCAATATAAAAAATCTTGTCAAACATTTGATGATGCCACTCTACAACTTGGTGTCAATTTGCCATCTCTAAAGGAGAGTCCACATAGCTAATATTCTTTTGGCAAGCTTTGTTGATATAATTGAATTGTTGACCACAACTCCTGCAGAGTGAATAAATTCTATACTATAACTCCCCTACTAAAAATCAAATGTCTATTACATAAAGGTTGTGTTTCATTGCTAGTTATTGTTTTGTGGCGGGTGCTGTGCACAGGGCAGGGTACGCTTACCCCTCCGGAACACCTGATACCACTTTTCATGCCATATGAAAAGTCCACATAACTAGTTTTGTTTATTGTATGTATGTCTATGTCTTTTACTGTTTTTAACAGTTTGCTTTGTTTGGATATTTTAATTCTAGCCTTGTTCTAGAAAACAAAATCTACCTGGGGAGGTCCTTTGTGACAGGCCTTGTTGTCATAATATCCAGAAAATTTTTGGAATATATCTGGAATTTGTAATCCACGATCTTTAAACTTATGATGCTGTGAAGTAATATACCATAATGTATTGTGGAGTGTGCTGACAAATTGCTTCCCAAGACTATTAACATTATGGGCTGTGAATCCAACATTCATTTCTTTCAACAAACTAAGAATGTCATTAAACATCCTATGGTCTTTTCTAAGATTGTTATAATTTTTTGAGGGGGGTAAACAATCATACTTTATGTTACTGGACATCATTTCATCAAAAGCATTTTTTCCCTGCTTATCGTTGTCACCACTTGAAGGAGTTGAGTTTGATTTTGAACCACTGACTTTCACTTTGCAAACAAGAAAGACTGTTACAAACATCAGATTAAAATCTACGATGACATGGAGGGGTGTTGATGCGTCTACGATGTTACCATTTGTCGTAACGTCTGAACTGGAAGCGGAATCAAAGGCCATAATTTTTTCGATGCGCAGTCCATCATCATCTACAATGCTGGGCGTGGAAGAAGTAGGAAGTAGGCCCACTCTCTCAATTGCTAAATTAGCCAGTTCACCCACTGTTCGATCGAGGCTTATTCTTATCAGGCACTTGAAAGATTCCAAAGCTCTTACCACTTTCACGCTAAAATAGCGTGAATCCATTGTGGGGCTTGAAAGGCGAAATCAAATGTCACCAACAACACGCCTAGATTAGTCGTATTGAACCATCATGGCGAATTTATTGGCCAAAGAGGAAGTGAAAACATATTTCATTGGCTGGTTATAAGTAGGATTAATAAAAGAATGCACACGATTGGCTAGGTGAAAACTGGACCGGTATTCTACGGAAAGAACCGAATGGTCACGGGATGTCACCAAATACATTAGTAGAGTAGACGTAGCGTTTGGACGAGCGAGGCTGGCATTGTCAAGGTTTATGGAGGCAGCGTTTATGTGAATACTTTCGTTCGAGATTTGGGTCGTCGATATTATTCTGCTAAGGGGTCCCGCTAATGGGCGAATCAGGAGCAGAAATCGCTATAACACGGTTCATGTCGCTATACGGACCGACATG